GGGGGGGGGGGGGGGAGTATCACCTGCGCAGATTCGATCCGTGCATTTCCACTTGGTGCCTTCGCACGTGCAGGTGTTACAATCGGCTTGAATAATTGAGCCCTCCTTGTAGCTCTTCCCGCCGTGATGACACGGGCAATCTCTCTCCGGAATGCAAACGCCGTTCGGCGTGTCTAGGACGTACCCGACCTTGCAGACGCAACCGGATGTGCACACTGCTGGACTGCGCTCGTCGGATATGTGCATATTGCTGCAAGTTCTCCGCTCCACCGGCTCACAGTCTGTCACCTCGAGATGCTTGCTGGCGACGCAGGTGGAGAGAAGTTCCGTGACTGGCGGGTAGTCCCGAATTTCTTCTGGCGTTGCTGGACGGCAGCCCCATATACCGCCTGAAATTGCGCAAAAAGGGATTTTGCGTTGGAGGAAGCAACCTTGGATCAGTTTGAAGTACTGACCTATGCAAGTGCAATAGTCTTGTCCTTTATTGCCCGGCCTCACTTCTCGATGATTGGATCTATACTCGCGACCCGCGTGCACGCAGGGACACTCGGCGATCGGGACGCACTCGCTGTTCGCGTCCAGCGTCTGCCCTTCGGGGCAATTGCATCCCTCGACGCATTCTTGCTTGCAGTCCTGGTAAAAGGATATGTCCTCGCACGATCTAAGTCAGAAAGTATATATTAAAGTATGTATATATTAATGTTTATGTAGATTTATTATATAAAAATTGTACGAGGTATTTGTCGCTAATTGTCTCATAAGTAAATATACCTGTATAGAAACGCGCGATGATCACATTTTATCATAATATGATGTCGTACTGCGACTTCAACTTAATATCATTTTAAGGGTCATCATGTGATTAACGTCGCATGAGAGCACAAGATGTACACAAGTGACGTGTGCACGTTCATGATATGATTATGATTAATGTTATTAAACGAGATACTTTTGTGACATCGTGACGTAAACAACATCTGAGCAGCGCATAAGCCCGCATCAGTATCTATTCTTGTCCTCACGCTGTGACTATTTAATAATTGCGTAATTGAATGTAAAATGAGATGAAATTGAATACATCTTGCTATCTGGGTATGAGTAGATCAGAGTGTGCGGGCTACCTCGTGCAGCTGTTCCCGCAGACCTGGTAGGTCTGACCGCCACTGCAATGAATTTTGCACTCATCGATCTCCGAACGCCACGGCAGTTTCACGCCCAGCGCCGCACAATTCTCCGCGTATGCAGCTAATATCGGGCAGAGGCACGACTCAACAACAGTGTCGCACGCGCACATATCGTACATGCAGTCTCGGTAAAACTCCGTCGGATCAACGTGCCAATGGCATCCTAAAACATCATAAATTCATCGGTCTTATTCCAAATTAATCGTCCAGAAGAGGCTAAGTTACGAGATAAATACAACTGATATATAAGACGTAACTATAAATATATCGATAAATACCTGAGAAAATATCGCTGTGTATTTTGGAACAATATTCCTCCGCTGTTGCTCGTTTCTGAGGATTCAGCTCGCAGGGGTGCTTCGGCTCGTCCTCGGAATCGTCGGCGCAAATTTTGTCTTCCCTCCATTTATTCGCGAAGGCTGTCACCGCGGACTCGACGTCACCGTCGGGCGTTGCAAAATCGTCCTTTTGATTCTCGGTAAATGTTCCGCAGAGCCCTTTCGTTCGACCTGATAACCCGTAGTTTAGTTAGCAGTTTATTTCTAAAAAGAAGCAGGCTGTCCTAAATTGAACAAAAAGCGAATTTACCGTGGAACTTAGCCGGAGCATTGATGTAAACGCGCGTCACGCCGTCCCACCACACCTCCAAATCGTTGGGCAAATTGATCACGACGAATATACTGCTCGCGAGTCGTACCCGGGCACCGTCGATCAGCATCGGTAATTTCGTCACCTCGTCGCTGTTCACCGTAATCTGGTGATTTTGCTTCAGTTTTATCGAGGTACGCTTGAAATTGATTGTAACAGCTTTGGTGCACGATGGAGAGTCCGCAGGAGTAAAGCCCATGTTCTGGAGCGAGTACAACGATTAATGAGCGATGAACAAGAATTTCGGAATTTTACAATTCAAATGATCGTGTCTGTCTGTCCGAAAAGTCTCTAACCTCGGATATCGCTCCGGAACAACGAACGTTTTCAGTTCCAATCGTGTAGTTCTCTCCCTTCATCAAATAGTACCTGCACTTTCCCATGAAATCGTAGTGCTTGCCGTCAAAAGTGGTATAATGCGGGTCGCCCAAGACGGAGCATCTAGCTTTACATTGCACCTGCGTGCATACCCACTTCCCGGCAGTGCATGTGCAAGTGTTACAACCCTTCGGCACGCTCGTGCCCGGCTCGAACAGTTTTCCCCTCAACTTACATGGGCATTCCTCCGGCATGATGCATCTACCTTGATGTTCCAGAGTACCGGCCGGACAGAAACAACCTTCCTCGCACTCGGGATCCTCGCTCTTCGCCTCGATACCGGAGAAACAGGATGCTTCCACCTTCGGCCCGCATGACATGTATATTCGTCCGTTTTTGCAGGAGATCGCTGCAAAATAATTTCCGTATAAATTCTATATAAATTTCTGTATAAATTCTTGTGCGTCACATATTCTAAGAGCCAACAAGGAAATAAGTTACTTTTATTCTACAGTTAATATACTAATATAATCAAGGTTAAGTAAATTGATTTTTATTTTTAACTAAGTTATATGTTAAAAGTTCCCATACAGCACACTTTATCCGAGGAACGTCCTATAGACATTCCTGTAAAATTAACTCAGTTAAATTAAAAATTATCAACTTTATAATTAATAACTAATGATTACCCAACTCTGCTGATACTGTTGTGATACAACGTACTATTCTGCGAATTTGTATTAAATTAAAGGTATTATTTTTATTAAATTGACTCACGACAAGTGTCATTGTTTCTCCACGCGGTTGCTACTGCGATTCCCTTGTGAACGCACTGGCGCATATAAATGTCCATGGTATTACAGGCGCATTTCTTCCTATCACTGTTCTTACACGCGCAATAGTCCCATAAACACGCTTCCGACAGCTCGGAAAAATTGATCGTGTGGGCGCAAGGCTTGAATTTACGATTGGAGAGCAGCTTGACGCAGAACTTGAAAGCGTTTTGGGCGAGATCGTCTCTCACTTCGCATGCATGTTGCGTGTTCGAGTAATCGTCACACGTTTCTATAAAATGAAATACAACGCAGTTATTGAGATGATCATCACTCCTCTGGTCAGAACAGTAATAATATAGGTTTTTCCTAAAATAACTGTGCGTTTAATATAGGCTGAAAGACTGAGACTAGATCTACGATAGGTGAGGTAAGCTTTTTGTTCTAAGCACTAAAGTGTAACTATTCAATTTGGTCTTCGAGTTAATACCGCGTCTTTCATGGACTTATTTCCAATGTTTCATGAATAACTCAAACCGTGAAAGCCTAAAATATTCGACTAAATTGTAACATGATTTTTAGCAAAGAGCGTTCCCAGAGCCGCTTGTCGCGATTCCTAAGATTTAAGAGGGTATTCTACTCTAGAACTTAAAAAAAAGATCGATTTTTATTTTAGGACGTGTGAAATGTGTTAGATTCAGCACGAAATTTTTTACTGTGCCCATTACCTCCAAGATTGCTGACTCGCCACGAGTCCGCCAAGGTAGAAATGCTTTTGGTATGAGTGCCGCTCTTCGTTAGGAAATCGTCATCCGGATCACCGTTCATCGTGCCGCACAGACCGGCCGTTTTGTTCCACATGCTCTCGGAAGCCTCGATTTGCAACAGCAAGGACCCGTCCCACTTCAGCTTTACGCCCAGCGAGTCGAGGGAGACGAGGGTGAAGTGCGCGGACTTGTCCACGCGCAATCCGGGCAGGTACACCGGTATGGGCAGCAACCGTTTCCCGCTGAAGAACGTCGATATGCCTGTCTCGTCACTGGCCAACGAGTACTCCTTGTCGTGCACGAACAGCTTCACGATCCTGGAACAACGGCCACCCGTAGTTCGGCAACCTGGAGCATTCGATATCAGGATCGTGCAGACGTCATCGCGTGTCTCCCGGAGAAGAACATGCGGGCAGTCACTATCGAAGCTGTAGATCTTGTCGTCGAAGGTCTTGTAGTGCGTGCCGCCCCAGGTGAAGCACGTCTTCGGTTCCGCGCGCCGACTCTCCTTGACGATCACCTTGTGGTCGTCCAGTGTGTTAAACTAAATACACGATATTTCGCAGAACATAAAGCTCCTTAAGTTTGTATATTATGTCATGTATCAACCTGTATAAGTTTTATATACGATGTGCACAAGTAATATATAATATATAATGGTATATAATAAAATAGTCACTGAAAATAAATCGGATCAGTCGTTTTGTTTTGCTATTTATGATTTTAAGTCGAAGGAGCCCAATTATTACAATTTTTAGTCAAATTAATAATATGTAACTGTGATGTATTGTTTACCATATCTGAGGTCACGCTTCCGCCATGAACACTGTTAAACTCATGGGAACCTTTCGTTGTACCGCTGAAAGCTTCTTGCGTAGACCAAGAGTGATTAGATTCTCGCACATATGTTTTGTAAGTGGTTTTGCGTGATACGATCTTCGTGTTGTCATTCGTCTTACACTGCGGTATCGGCTGCGGTTGGAAAATGCCGGTGTCGTAGGTGCAAGTGTACTCTGCGGCAGGTGAAAATTCGAACGTCGATTCCGCCGGACAGTCCAACATACAGGAATACTTGTCATCCGCGCTAGTGCAATAATAGCCACCGTTGAAGCGTAAGTTCTTCGCGTCGCATATGTCAGCAGCTGTGAAAAAATCATATTGATGAGAAATATATTAGAAAAAAATAATAATATAAAATAACAATGTTAGAAAAAAATAATAACAATTAAAAACATCAATATCGGAAAACATACGAATCATTTCTATAAAACATATTATGAAAACTTGCGACAATATTAATATTTAAAATAGCACTAGAGAGAGAGAGAGAGAGAGAGAGAGAGAGAGAGAGAGAGAAATTACACACCCGTGCTTGTTCTTCATAGCCTTCCTAATGTTTTTCTTTATATATTAAGCTTCTATCAAGCGAGTGTTTTGTATGCAGTATGCAACAAACAGAAACGGATTCAACCTCCAAGTTTTCACTTTTCGCTCCATTTTTACGAGAAATCTTTTTCAAATATCGTTCATAATTAAAGATAAAAGGATAAAAATTTTGACAAAAATTTGATTATACTTAACTTCCTGAACCACATTAATATGATACGAAAGGTATTAGAAATTATCCAACTTATTATTATCCAAATTATTATCATTTAAATGACAAAAAAATAATTTCTCATCATTGGTTAAAAATCATTTTTTAACTACAGAATACAGATTTATTTAATAAAGTACATTTTCGCCGATATTCTCCCTGCACGTACCTTGTTGATACCGATCGTTTATACCAATTAAAGTAGACTTTCTATTAAATTATCTTAATTTCGGATACGTATAAACGACGGTGTATCCAAATAATACGATACATCTTTTCGACGCGTATTCTACATTTAGATGCACCGTCCTTTATAAGTATCGTCGATATTAAGATAATTTAATAGAAAGCATCGATTCAATACGTGCGTTTCAAACGTGCGACCGGTGTAAACTAGCACTATTTGTCTAAAGAAGCAAGACGAATCTGCGAGTTTGTGGAAAGGTGGGGATTTCATTACTTACAATACTGACATTGGGCTCCTCGATAGTTCTGCGGACATTGGCACAGATTCATCGGCAGGCAATTTCCACCGTTCCGACAGGGTGGATTACACACGGCTGTCAAGATACAATCATATTAGACTAGTGCTTCGCATAGCACACAGAGCATAGATTAGCCGTCGCAAACGTACGTTCGCAATCTGGAATTGATATCCAATCGCCCCTGGTTGGCTTCCAGCTGCCATCCTTGCAGATCAAGTTGGCGATGGACGAGCCATCGGGGAAGGTAAAGTTTTTCATGCAGGACACGGTGCACGATCTGAAAAGAAGATTTTACAAAGTTGTACGCAAGTTACACAAGTTAAGATAAAAGTACCAATACTTGGACAAGTACCTAACTCTGGACATTCTTATTGTTTCGGTTTTGAAACGTGAACATTTAAACTTCTAAGAATAGAATAATACACACATATTGAATATATCCACATATTCTATATTGAACGTTTAAATATTCGCATTTACATATCGAAACAAAATATGAATGTTCAGAGACAGGCACTCGTCCAGGCATTGTTACTTTTATTTCACCGCATTTGTACACACGTAGATGAGATCTACGTGTGCTACTTACTTCGAGTTACACCTCTTGTAGGAATTAAGCGCCGGCGGGAGATGATTCAAGCACGGTTTATCCTCGAATTGGCATTGCGGACCGGTAAAATGTTCGGAACAGTCGCATTGATGAGGCGCGATGCACATTCCGTTGTTTTGACACTCGGGCATGCAGATCGCTGAAAAGATATCTCACGTGAACACACGTGCATTCAGTTTGAACTTCCCCGTTTGATAGCGAAGTCTCGCCAAAATTGAAGTCGGTCACTTGCTTCTCTTACGTACGTTCACAGTGCGGCACCGAGCTCCACTCGGTCCCTTGGATTTGCCATTCCCTATCGACGCAGGTGACTGTCAACTGATGCACGCCATTTGGAAATTTGTAGTCCGGCGCGCAACTTGCGATGCAGCCCCTGTAAAAACGAGCAATGAATGTTCATTACGTTTCTTCGGCGCCCGAATTATCCGGCGTGCCTGTCTGGCTTCGTCGAATTGAACTGATCGTCATGCAATTTCTTCAATATTATGCGATGAACTTTTTAATTACTTTGAAAAATAGCGTCGATTATACTTTGTTAGTCATTTTGACGGCTGTGAATTACCTCTTCATGGAGCACACGATTTTGCCATTCACCGGGGCACTCGGTATCCGAGTACAGCCTCCTGCAAATACGCGTCTGCCACCCTTTCGGCTCTTAACATTGTAGAAATCATCGTTGGCTAGTGGCTGGTCCACAGCATCGTTTAGCATATCCTCCGTTCTGGTGTATAAAAAAAGCGTGTAAATAATAGCGAATAAATCTTTACAGCGGCATTATGTAAATTTCGAGTATTATATGTTGCTTATTATAACAGATTATATAAAATACTAACTCCTCCGATTCTTCTATCTCCGAGTATGCATATCCTTGTAGTATGTTGTTTGCAACAATTATCAGTACGAATGAACGAGCAAGTACCCGCAGCAGCACCATGTTACCGGTGCGACGCGAGTTTGTATCCACGTGCCCTAAAAGATACTTCGCATTTGTGTTTCCAACTAACGGCTACCGACCAAATTACACGTTTAACAAGGACACCTAGCACGTTGCTTTTATATATCTACTTTCGAAAGGAAACGGATAAGCGATAAATTCTGGTCCTACTTGATAAATGTGGAAGATGAAAAATATGGGTCAACGGGCTAAAGATTAAACATCTGTGCGATTTACAAATTTGATATATAAATTATTTATACATAGCGCACGTATCTGCAAGCGACTGCAATATGCACTTCCATATCGCGTTCATAAGCTTATAATATTATTGTTTTTATATCGATAAAATTAAGTAACGCTACGCGAATTTCGATAAGCATGCGCTCCTGCGAAAGCGTTTCAGCGGCGAGATTAACTTATCATATTCGCTATAGACGTTAACTAGCTTCTAATTAGCTTGATAATGCGTGTCTGAAATAACAAAGGAAGCAGTTATCAACCATTTCCCAGTAATGACACAAACGTAACGCGTAGCGCGATCGAATCAATTTGTAACAAAAAAAAACTTATATTAGCATATAAGTAAATTTACTAATTTTATTAATAAATTTATTTATCTGTCGACATTGTGTAAATTCGACTTAAACGCGTAAATAATCACATTGCTACAGGAAGAACTGAATATATTAGCTGTATATTGAGATAACTCGGCATTGATCAAACTGTTAACTTTTCTAACGTTTCAATAATCTACTTAAGTTTTTCTATTGCTGATGACACTTTCCGTCGGGCAACTGTCCAATTTGTTCCCCTTTTTATAGCTCGCCAGTAAGCAGTCTAATGTAATTCGGTAATCTTTAGTAATTTTCAATTGTCCCGGCTCGGAATATTTGGAATGCCATATTTTGTAATAAACATCACTCGTAATATCGTCCAAATGCGTGATGTTAAATTCTTCCTCCAGCGCAATTTTCCACACCTAAAATATATTATATGTGTATATGGGGTGTAAATATATATATGATGATGATATTAAATTGAATCAAATACTTAGTATCACTATTTTTAGAAAAAGAAATTATTACTTTAGAAGAGAACAACAATATTTCTAATTGGAAAGAGTAGTTGTGAAAAACTTACATCGTCTTCAGATATCAGAGCTTTAGCAGGTATACTACCGAATTTGCCTTCGTTCATAAATACACGCAAATGATACAGTAAAAAATTCAGCGTGTGCATTTTATCGGGTTCACTGGCGCTGAAAGTTACAGATACCGGCGAGCAGTATGTTCTTTTCGTCGGATACATGGCACGTGTCCAATAGCTGCCTGGTCTGTTGACACCCCACAAGAGAACTTGTAAAGAGTAACCGTGGAAAGTACCTCTTAAGTACTGATCTCTGGTATCGGATGGATGTATGCCTAAGGAAAACAAATGTTTCCCTGTAACACACAAGCGAAAAATCAATATCAAAGAAGCAATTATGTTGATGACAAAGTAGAAATTTATACAGGGAAAATTATAACACCAAGTTACGTTACCAAGGTAATAATCTTCCTTCTTCCAAAACCTTCCACCTGCGGCACATTTTTCTGAAGAATCGAACATCTTTACTACCTTAGCCAATGTTCCTCTGCTAAGAACATATCCAGCTTGAGCAACATTGTAAGGATGACCCCACATAATTATCGGATGACCCAAGTAATAATCATCTTCATGGTTTAAAGGAGCAACCATATAGCGCAAATTCTCTGGTATGACCATAGTATCATCTTTCACAAAAATAACCCACTTCAATTTATCCGCTGCTCTGTCGTTCCAAATATAACTCATAGCTTCGCACAGCAGCTGCCATGAAGATGTGATCTCTGCACCTACATTTATAACAGGCAATTCTGTGTTTTTCAGACGGTGTCCGAAGAAGTATATATTGTTACAGCGCTCGCCCCATGTAGCTTGAATTGATTTTCCTAATTTAAGTTTCTCTATGAAAACCACGCATGTAATGGAAATTTGTTCCGACAACCAATTCCATTCCAGATTGATGCTTTCTTTCGCATCATCTCTTTCTTGTGGACCATATAGATGCTTATCCAGATCGATTTTGTATGATCTTAAATTTTGTTCGCCCAGCCAAGCATCATATGTAACATTGTTAAAATAGTCGTGTGTCCTCTTCTGCTTCTTCCAAAGTTGCAAAATAATTTCTTTATGGTGTGGCTTCTTATTCAAGTGATACTCAGGCTCCCATGATTCTTGATCATATGTCAAATAAGTCACAAATATTCTTTTCCATAGGATAAATAACAATGGAAGAGCAAAGCCAATCGCAAAACCAATGAGAAATCCTGATCTTTTCTTTAAAAAGCGAAGACACATTTTGTTACCGTGCAAAACTAGGTAAATACATGATTATCCAGAGCTCTATGTGATAAGGTAGTAATTAACTGTTAAATAGAACTACTTTACATTGGCGCATTGTCATAGTACTTGACCTTAGTTAAACTCACTTATTTCATTAAACTAATAATCTTCTGTGCATATTCTATGCCTTAAATTTTTCTTAATCTTAGTCCCCATTTTTCATTTTATTTACAACATTAATTTTCCTTGAGGCAAAACTGCAAAAAGCACCATGTAACAAAATTAACTTATATATTGAACATGTGCTCCACAAAATACACACAGTTTATCATGTGTCATTAATTATCGTCCCAAATAACCAAGTCAAATGTTCAGCATTAATATATTACCTGCAACATATGCATTTCGGCGATACGCGTATCGGACAAAATCAGTAAAATCATCGATATCATTTAATTGGGTACAGTATATTTTTTCAAACACATTACATTTCAGACCGTGAGAGACAATGGTTTACAAAGCCGCAATCGATGATTAATCTGACACTCACCATCTGTTCAGTGAGAGAAATGATCGAGGAAAACAAAAATCGATCATATTACTACAGTATAACGCACGATGTACCGTTATTCGCGGCTTTGTTGAATCAACAGGTGGCATAAACACATAAGCCATCTATTAGCTTACGCATAACCTATAAAACTAACGGATATCCATGTAAATACAGATCAGCTGATGGTACAAGAAATAAAGCCGTGAATGAAGTAACTTTCTTTCCAGACTCTTTTTCTAAATATTGAACTTTTTGTTATACATACAATAAACTTTTTGCCACATAAAGCTTGCAAACATAAACATCAGCGATTTATCAGGGTTAATTTATTTTCATTACATGCGATATGAAGGTAATCAATTTGTTTGATTTGTAGAAACAAAAGATATCGTATTGAGATAAAAATGAGAACTAGTATAACTAGACATAACAGGAAACTGCATTTTTAAATACATCTCTAATGACACAACCTCCGTGCTTTCCCGGGAAAAAAAATCATATGTGAAATTTGCCCATATTTGACTGTATACAATCATATGTCCACGACGGAAAAATATTGTTTTTTACAAATTATATACAAATACAATCGAAGTAAATGCTTCTGGCTACTTGTGCTTCTGAAAGCACATGATATCGACATTTAATTAAATGACATCATTATTTTTCGTATAGACATATATGATCATATATGTAACCACATATATGGACAAAATTCACATATGATTTTATAGAATTATATATAATCATATATAATAATTTTTTCCCGGGTAATAAGTTAAAATGTAATTTTGTTTTTGTTTAAAATATATATAATATTTCACGAAATTTATGTATTGTCTTTAAAAGCGCGAGGAAATTTGCACATGTGATATTTTCTCAAATTATATATGATTTTATGAAATTATATATGATTTTGTACAGTGTTGTACAATTTGCAATGATAAAAATAGTGACAAGTGTCACAAAAACAGTGTTGTACAATTTGCAATGATAAAAATAGTGTAACATTATTTCTAGATAAAAACTTCCATTTGGTTTTCATTAAGAAATAACATAATTACTAATCGTTAGTTATGAAACACAATATACAATATACAAACATCATACAATTTGAAAGTTAATATTGTGAGTGTACAAATCCCCTGAAACCCATTTCTCCTCGTATTTATTTATATCTAAACATATATGAAGGGATATAGAAAAAAGCGTGATTCTCAGATCTGATCGTATATATCAACCATATATGGCATCATATATGATTATATTTGGCAGATATATTTGGCATATGATCATGTTTGAGCAAAATCCATATATAGCTAATTTTGTATGGGCATATATGAACTTTTTTCCATGTGAAATATTAATAATTTGCATCACACACACAAAGATTTATGTCCTATAATTTAAAAGTGGAAACAAAGGTAGTGTATTAAAAAATCAGGTTAATTCGAAGAAAGAGAGCGCATATATAATAAAGATATAAAATTGTATTGTTTCATATAACACGGAATAACGTAATTGTGGATATTGTGCAAACGAGTAAAACAATTAAGAAAAACAAACAATTTTATGGAATATATGGTCGCCTGCCTTATCGTTGTTGGAGTGATGACGCGTATTTATTTTTCAATATTTCTCAGAAAAATAATATCTTCTCTTACATTGTAAACATAAGTGAGCAATAAGAAATGCTTGCAAGCTTACGACAATTTTTTGCCACAATAATATAATATAATAAACTTCCGATAAAAAATTATATTAATGTGATTCAATACAAGACTTTTCTTTCGATTCATCAAAGATATTTGCTCTTTTTGCCCGTATTAAAATACGCTACTATGTGCCCTTTAAATTTGTAAAGATTAAAATTTTTTATTTATTGTTTGCTCAGAAATAAAAGCATTGTATTGCACATTTGTATATAAGTACATTACATAGTCTTGTGACAAGAGATTACATCAGATATTCTCTTCCTCTCTCTCTCTTTCTCCTTATAATTCTCACAAGATAATCCAGGTACCAAGTGAATTCTTAATAGAATATTTAAAAACTTTAATACGAACTTTCGTGTTCTTATCGATAATCATGAAAAGTTTAGCACACACAGCCAAATATAAATATATAATACATAGTAAGTCTAAACACAATATTATATATTGAGAATGTGTAATAATCAAGTAGTGGAAATTATTATCGTTGAAATATAGGCTTAGTATTTCAAAATGTCAGGCTATATTTTACAAAAATAATTGATCAAGCAAACCTAACAGCGTATTGTGTACATACGTAGATTTTATTTTAATATATAATTTATTATATAGAAGCATGCATTGCAATAGCAATTGCTTCTTTTGTAAATACTGTACAAGATTGCAAGTGTAATCTAGTAGGAATAATCCTAAGAGAAGTCAGAAAAAATATTAAGCTTAAAGAAGTACCTCGTAGCGTTTGCAATCCTATAATGAGATCGGAGAATTTAGAAACTGACTTTGCCGCGTATCTTAAAGAAACCTAAACCATTCCTATTGTGCACTAAGGCACCGACTCCACAGTAATTCTCTATAATGATTGGCGTATTAACAACATTGCATTCATGCGGTAATAAATTTTTGAGCATGGAATGAAAGACTTCTACATCAAATCTCGTCTTGATAACTTCAGTTCCTGCTAAAAAGATGTTATCTTATTATTGATAAGTTTCATCAGCGAATCTTTTGTAGCGATCTTTTCCTTATGAGAGGGTTCATTATATTTAATATATAAATTAACATCTACCTTTATACCAGAACAATGGATGACTAGCATAAGTGAGCCAAGGTATATCTTTGGCAAATGGATTCCACTTTTTTATCAGAGGCAAGGGCTGTCCTCTGTTCCACATAAGTCTCATTCCCAACATGTGTCGTTTCCTGAAAGATTTAAATCCTGTCCCTGCATATACGCTCTGATATCAAATTACATGAAATAATTCAATCTTATATTACTATATCATTTGAAGAATAAAATTTGATCTTCCTTCACATTTTAAATTTCTTGTAAGTTCTGTTGTATACATACGCACACATATACATACATACATAAAATTGCTGGAATATGACACAATTAAAGACAATTTATATTATTTATATAAAACACATACCGTAAAAGAATATTTATTTTATAAATATATTGCACACAATATAATAATAAAGCAACAGATACAGATACATTCAAAACAAATTAACAAACAGAGAGATAACGAATGAGTGACTGCAGATAGCAAAGCAATATACCTAGGCTCAAATTGAGTAAGACCAGAACAACCTGCGACAGACGACCACTCTTGGCGTACTGCACATTGAATTATGGACGACACACCTTCTGCCAATCCACTTAATCGTCTATAAAAAGTGCTACATTAATAAGAATAAAATGCAACATGAATGTAAATACATATTATATGCATACTACATATGTGTATATAATGCATTTAATATATTATTAGATGATTTTACTTGGCACATAAACAAGAACACGTAAGCTGTATAATTCTCATTTTATCTGAGGGATATATCCTTATATATTATTAACATATTTCAATATAAATTTCCCTTAATTTTCAATATATATTAAGATGAAAACTATTATTAAGAAACTATGAAATATAATATTGTTTGTAAATCATTCATTATTAATACTCTATTAATATTATATATAATATTTATAGAGTATAAGAGATATTATATATACTATTAATACTCACGGAGCAAGAGATGCAGATGGATAAATCAATTCCCCTGTTACTACCGTATCCAGTAATAGTAAGGGCACGTGATTGTAATCAAGTATTTTCAAGGAAATAAAGTCATACTTCACAGAGTAAAGAGTCTTCGTTGCTAGTAACACAAGTCTCTCCTTTTCTGTATCCCACAGACTTATTCTGGGAATAAATAAATTCTCTTCTGATATGCATTCAAAATTGAAATGACAATGGGTACGAGAAGTTGACAATATAGATTTATATCATCAGTGCGTACTCTGTCAGAAGCCAGCTTCCCACAAGTTCCTCATTGTTTTCCTTGATGAGCCTCTCAGTGCAGTCATGTATGGCTCTTTCTACAACTTCGTTCCTATCAGTAAAGAATGTATGAACATCTATATGCCTAAAAGGCACATTACACACATTTCTCGAAGATGAATCCTGTTTCGTTGTGTCATCACTGCCTTCTGTCGTTGACTTGATAGCTGTAATTAATATAAGTTATAGTAAATAAATACTTGTAACACAATGGGCAGCTGAATTTTTAAAGCGCACTACTTTCTCGAATTTAAATTTTGCTCGAACAATATAATAATTTTCCCATCATCTTGTCATTTGAGGAGAATCAACGGAACTCACTGTCAATATCTTTAGAGATTTCCAATGTGGCCGTTTCAAAATTTGCCGCAGGTCCGTCGTCCAAGCACGTCTCTTCCATTTTTTTTTTAGGTTATCTGTCACTGGGAGATTTTGTTACATGTGTCAGTAACAACGATTCGAGAAATCACAGCACAATAATGCACGATAATGGAATCACTGAAACTTATGAAGTATAACTGCCGAAAAATCAATTAATAGAAACGCATTTGATGGAACTGTTTGTAAATGACGTTTACATTCGATCGTATAAGACGCCATATTAGTACGTCATAGGAGATATCAGTCATAGGGGGATACAAGTTATAGAGGATTTTGAGTTCACATACTGGACAAAAATCTTCCAAACAACCTGGCGTCACTACACATGAGTTTGGTAGGCCTGGTTCAGGACGTCAATGGCTTGCAGTTGTTGTTCATGTTACTTGTAAAAGTTGTAATATAATAAAGTGCTGCGATAATATTGCGGAATTCGCACGAGGTCGCCCCGTAACTCGCAATCGAAATTTCATTGCGATGGCTGAAAATCGGGACGCGATACTGGCCGACTTTCAGGTGAATTTGCGATTGCACGCGCATTATTTGCATGCATAACGTAAATGCGTTGTTAGGTTAGGGATCATACGTGTAGATGACATTGACAATAATTGAAGGCGTTCGAAACAGAGTTTAGCGTCGCACTTATTTTTTTCGGCGGAAACGCAGAAAATGCAAATGGTAGAGACGTGCAAACACATGTCACTTATAAGTTGTTGCATTCCCGTTGTAAGTTTGACAAAAATTCGCCGAAACACCCGTTCGTTTCTTTCTCAAATTGTTTTTATATGTCCCCGTTTGTTTTGAAATCTAAAATGTCTTTCAATGGCGTTCTCTTGTAGAAACTGTACTTGAACAGTTGTGTCACTGCATCTTCTTTCGCCAATTTTCTCTTTATATATACATATATATGTATATATATATGTGTATATATATCACTTGTTCATTTTTACTTATAAATGTTATCCTACATTACACTAATTACAAAACTGTTTCAAATATGCAATCTGTATCATTTATAGGCTTGTACTGGAATCGATGATATTGGAGATGCTATTGTATATTTGGAGCAAACAAATTGGGATTTATTGGTAAGTACAAATATACAGATAATAATATGAAAACATGGATACAAATATATAATCAAGTTATAGTTGATATAGCGATTAATACAAATGTAACAATATATATCTTTTTTTTTACACAGGCTGCAGTAAATAAAGCCATGCCCCAAGATACTCAACAACTACCCTCTGAAATTGGCCCAGATATAGAAATGTTGGAGGAAGTTAAAGCAATGCCGCGTTCATCTTCATCCATATTACAAACATCTCAAAATTCAAGAAAGATAGGAACAACAAAAGCAGATATAATAGAAAGTGCAAAACCTGGGACAAGTAGACCTAACAGTTGTATAAGGAACAGAACACTCACATTCCACATTTACTATCATAATAGCATTTATAAAATACATACGCCTGAGTCATCCACCTTGGGTAAGAAAGACAAAATATTATTGATTCTACATAAGTAGTCTGTAGTCTGGTTCCTGAACCAGGGCTGCTCTGAAGCTTTCTTCCCTTTCCATTTAATGTTTAGTTATATGCTTGTCTCGCTCTAATGATAAAAGTACAACTTAATTCAGGAACAGAAAACTATTGAAAGATTAACAATTAGTATTAATCTAATGTAGTTAATATGTCAAGCTACAAATGTGAAAATAATGTTTCAGGGGACCTTAAGCAGCTTATATGGCAACAAACGAATGTAGCACCCTGTCAACAGAATCTTCGTGGATGGCTGAAGGAACCCCGAACACAAAATACGTCATTGGTAACATTAGATCTGCCTAAGGAAAATACATTGCACATGTCATCATTACCGCAAGACTGCGACCTAGCTCGTGAGACGTGAGTTGTAGAATTTCGCCGACGCAACTTTTTGTGACTATTATTCATGAAATAATCTAAATTTCCTTCACTCTAGTGTGAGCCTCTCGGGTCGTATGACTCAGACTTACACATTGAATGTAAAGGATGAAGTGCATAACAAAACGTACAATCTGAAGTTTCCCGGCACGCATACTGTGTTAGAAGTAAAGACAGACGTCTACTCGTTGATAGACGTGCCTGTACGAAATCAACAGTGGAAAGGTTGGCCTAGCTCACTGAAAGATGATACTGTAATATTGGCGCAAAGTGGAATCTGTTATCCCGAACACGACTTATCCGTCGGAATGCTTCCGGCCAAGGAAGAAAAGAAGGTAATGTCTCGCGTCGGGATTGCAATTTCCTAGATTTTCTATGATATTTATTTGTTATTTTCAGAAGGTTGTAAATCTGGTCGACAGCGACAGTTCTATAGATGAGCCGGAAGATGTAGAAGAATTGGAAGATATTACCGAATCGTTTAATGTCGAGGACGACATTTTCATAGATGACGTTAAATCTACTAAAATAGAGCGCCTCAGTGAGTGTATTCTAATAGGAGAACATCTGCTCCTTCATCGTGTGATAATTATAACGATGATAAAATGAGGTTTTTTTTCTCTCTTTTCTGTAAACAGTGCCAGAAAATGTGGTGGATGAGATAATGGGTACGTTACATTTTGCGGAGCAATTCGAGAAGCGATACGGACCGGCACATCCGGAATTCTTTGCCGGTACATTCGAGGATGCACTGAAGGAATCGTGTCTGAAACCGGCGAAAGAGGTTTGTCCGGAATCTTAATGCTGTATAAGTGCGACGAGGATTTCGGGGGCTCGTCGGAAATATACTTGTTCCTCACTTCTTATATTTTTACAGAGAAAACTGTTGGCTGTATATTTGCATCACGATAACAGCGTATTAGCAAATGTCTTTTGTACTCAACTGTTAGGATTCGAAACGGTGCTTCAACTTCTTTCAGCGAATTTTATAGTGTGGGGTTGGGATATTACATTTGAATCTAACAAAGAAAGGTACGATATCTGGAGAAGAATATACGTAACATCAAGTATTATCGACGGAATATTTCATGTCTAAACACTCGATTCGGTTCTCAGATTTCTCTACTCCGTAACTCAAACTCTTGGTACTGTTGGCTCATTGGCTGTGACAAGCATAGATGTTGATACCTTGCCAGCTCTCATGATTATCATGAGATCTAGATCTAACACAGAAATATTTACTATTGTACATGGCAATGTGGGAGTTAACGAGTTATTGACAAACTTAGTGCAAGCCGTTGATGTATTCCAGGTAAATATATTTTGCACACTGTTAACGAGTACTTTGATGAAATTTTAACGTAAAGCTTCGATACTAAAATATAACGCCGTGAATTGGAAAGGTTGACGATAAATGATGATCTCTCTTATTATTTTCTTTAAGGAAAAATTATCTACGAATTGGTCGATAAAAATTAATTGTAACAGATAAAACATACGATGGTTTTGGAATACCTAATATCTTAATGTGTAACATATATCTTTACCGTGTAACCACACGCAAGTATAAATATAAATCATAGTTGATATATAGTTCTTGTTCTTAAAATAGGAACAGAGGCGAGCTGATATTGGCGTTGAGGAAGAACGACAAGCTAGAGAAAGAGTCAAACAAGAGCAAGATAGAGCGTATCAAGAAAGTTTGGCAGCTGATAGGTAACTAAAAGCGTTTATTCGATCCGTTGAATAGCAATGTTTCTATATGTAAGGTAACTACCCTAATTATGAACCATTTAAAGTTAGAGTAAACTTTCATTCATTTATAAAAATTCGACGGTCAAATATTAAAAGGAACTAGAAATACCAATGTCAACAACAAATATTATGATTTTTAAACAGAATTATATAATTTCAAGCTAATTGATTCTAAATAAAAAAAAAATAATTGGAAATGTTAACATATAAATCCTAATTATGGATCAGTAAATTATATCGCGTCCCTGTAACAGGTCATGTGATACCCAATTCTCAAAAAAAAAGCTTGTATTATATCAGATTTTTTAAAAAATCCCTTTCTTTATTTTATAAATATCTACAATATTTCTGAATATAATCTTACAATATAATAATTGTAAAGAATGAACTAAAAGCATATAAAAAATATTTTTCCGTGTTTTCGTTATAATGTGTATTTCTTTAACACATTAATGAACCAAGTTTGACCCGAAATTGGGACTCTCCATAAATAAGACCATTACTTTAAGTAATTTTCATGTTAAACCGAATAAGGATAATATTCTAATATTCTTAATTCTAATTTTATATTTTTAGAGCGAAGGAGGAGGCGAAACAAATGCAAGAGCAACTTGAGAAGCAGAAGAAAGAGCAGGCTGAAAACGAAAGGTTAGCTGAGAAAGCAAGGAAAGAGGCTCACAGGCAAGCTGTAGAATCCAGTTTGCCACCTGAACCGCAGCAAGAAGCGGGCGACGGCGTGATGAAGGTAAAAGTACGCCTGCCAGCTGGAAAGTTTCTGGAACGTAAATTTCAGTCGGACACACCGCTGCAGACGCTCCTTAATTTCCTCATTGTGGAGGGTTATCCTACAGAGGAATATAAACTCTTGTCTAGTTGGCCTCGAAGGGATGTAAGTAGATGATGTAAGCATTTGAGTTCTTATCACATAGATATTTATTTGTACGATTCTTCATATGCCGTTTTTTTCTAACGAGCAAGTTGAAACGAAAGCACTATCTGAGGAAAAAAAATCTTTATAAATACTTTGCTGAAAGTACTCGAGCGACTCGAGCCAGCATATCAAACGCATTTTCTACGTTCGTTTCAGTTGACATCCATGGACTCTAAGCTTACCCTGATGGAACTGAAGTTCTGTCCGCAGGAAACAGTAATACTAGAGGAACGATAAGGAATATGTTATGTAATTAAATTCAAATGTAGAAATTAAGTGTCGCGTTACTTCACAAATGTATTTATTTAACAACCTCGAGATAGTCAGCAATTATGATTTGAGTTCTGTTAATCTTATAATTAGATTTTTACGCTGAACTTATTCCATACAATTAAATCGTATGTCGAATGTAATTTTGTTTTATAAAAGAGAGGAAAAAAAAGGAGACAGCTCTTTTCACGCGTACGTATATATTATACACTTTAAATTTCCAGAAATAAATTGGATGCTGAGAAAAATTACGATACAAAACTTATTAAAATATTGCGACAGCTAGCCTGCGCAAGATTATGGATTGCCAGATTGCAGAGAGACCCTCCTATTTCTCTCATAATTGATTTCGCCCACGGATATGCACCCGCGCTCAACTACAGCCGGAGCCTCAGCATTGGCTGAAGCGTTGACCGTCTTATTCGATCACAGTTGAATTCTCGACGTCATGGGGATATATTTGAGCGAATACCGCCGCTCAAAACACGATCAATACATCGATGGAAGTTATGCAATTTTAAAAAATGCATAGAATGAAGACGAACAGACACTTGGCGACACTAGTAATTCATTCTTACACTCATCATAAATACAAAGAAGCAGCAAATACAATGTCTCGCTTTATAAGTTTGATCGCCTCGCTGAATTTGTTCTCTAGCTCGATGTTTCCGATACTTTTCGCCGCTTGGCACAGCTGCCGAAGCACCTCCTCTAGGCGACGCATACACCTGATAATGGATCCTGAAATGTGTGTGTGTGTGTGTGTACGTATGTAAAATAGACAGAGAACGCCGGAGAATGAGAGATTCGAGCTTGTATCGAATCGTACTTTAAAGTTACGCTTTATGATCATTAATATTATTCGTGAACAAAGAGAAATGTTGTCGCTATTTCTAGCACAGAGTTGCCATGGAAAATGAATTTTGAAATTCCCCGATTTTTCCGATGTTTTCCAAACGACAGTGGAGAATTTTCCACGCCTTTTAACATGTAATCATAAACTTTAACGCTTAGAAGCAGGGATTGCAAGAAAAATAGCTTATATTACTAGAAGCAACACAAATTAAAAATATATAGAAATTAAATGGTCAATGGAGCCGAGAGAAATATGGTTGTTTTAATGTTATATTTAACATTGATATTAACATTATTAATACTATTCTGTGAGAGGGTAAACACGTCCATCGTGTATCGTGAATGTACAAATTTTTTTGCCAAATTGACAGAAAATAAATGAGCATTGGAAGAAAAGAAAAAAAAAGTTGAGAGCATTCGAGGAAATTGTGAGTTCAAACTTTCAGATTTTTTTTTTTTATATCTTTCCCTGACTTTTTCGGGTTCTCTCGGTTTTCCAGGTCTGTGGCAACTCTGCTAGTTTGCCAGTAGTTTTCAAGGAAACAGCTCGTAACTTTACGTGGATTACTGTTATCTTCGAATACCTTACCTTCAAATATATCGGTCATCTTGCAGATTTGTAGGAACGACGCGCCCTTGCACCAAGCGTACATAACGTCCATTAAATACGGCTTGAATCTGTCGACATACGCTTCCTCGTCCAGCTCTAAATTGACCTCCGTCGAGACCTTCGCTATTCTTCGAGCCAAATCTTGCATTTGCCTGAGCGGTCCGCTCAGCTCCTCCGTGCTCTTGGGCATCTCGGTCGACTTTTCGTCGCATACGAAACAACTAATCAACGCCACCATCTGTGGTACGTTCAAAACGTTAAAGAGACCGTTGAAGAGCATCTCTGTCAATAACAATTCGTCGGCACCATTTAGCTCGCAGGCTACGCGTCCTTTCAATTCTATAACGTCCGTCGCCGTGCAATATGCCATCCTTTTTAAAACTCGCTTTCTACACTTGAGCTCGTCCATCTGCAGTATCGACATGGCTTCTTTCAGTTCCTGTTTGGCTTGCTTGAGATTCGCGGCTAGTTCCTCCTTGTGCAAGAACTGCTCGTATATTGCGTTCACGTTGGGGTCCTGTAAAAACAATATATAGCCGACTTGGTTAAAATATATCGGGAACATCCACCATGAATCTTCTCGTCTGAATTGAGCCGTGAAAAATAACAGTCAAGGACAACAGTTCGTGCGATATTTCGAGGAAAACGATGTCCGAGCAGTACCACGCAGTAAGAAAGGATGCTATTCTCCCGGTTCTCTAGGTCTGTGGCAACTCTGTCAATGCCGTCATTTAAAATAAACCATCCCGTGTAACAAATCATCGTTCACTTGTCTCATTTACCTTGTGCAAAGGATGAGCGTAAAGTTTCTCTTCTAGCAATTCGATTTTTTTCACGATATCTTTGAAAGCCTCATCTTGTATTTTCATATCCTCAATGGGATTAAGCAACGGTAGCCCTTCCGGGAATCTCTTCTTCGTCTCTTGTATCGATTTCAGCACGCTTTTCCGGTTGTCAAGCGGCCTAAGGTCTTTCGGATAATGCACCCTGAGTGAGCTTATTTGGGAAATCAAATTATGCACAATCGGAACTACTTCCACGTCACCTTCTTCATTGTCGCGACACGGGATCGGATTGTCCTCTTTTGATTCTTTCGATATACGAAGTAAGACATCGATGACGATGACGGCCTTGTCCTTTACCGGATTTTTCGGATTTCTTTTCTTGAAGTTCACTATGCTGCCCCAATCGAATGTTCCAACATTGTTCTTCACCTGCAACGCGCGCAACAAACGAGTCCGTCGGAGTCTGTCTTTAGACGTGGTTAGGTGTGCGTGCCGACGTGTGAAACACTTACCTGTATCAATCTTCCAGGTTGTAAGAATGGCAGCAAATATTCCGGTTGCGTTAGGAACGATCGGAACTCGCCGCTCAGTCGGTTCAGTCGTTCCCGTATATCATGATACGAAGATATTTCGTCGTATTTCTCAACATTCACCGTATTGTAGGTAGCGTACAGTTCTTTCACTCCTACAAATCAAATCAAGGTGAACACCGTGTGTATACGTGCCTTATCATTATTAACGTTAAAAATATAGAGCCGACATTGTGGTGCACAACTCACTGTTATACAAAGTCGGAATAGAAGATTGGTTCTGAAATTGGAAGAAGCTCCGCTCTAACATGTACTCCGGATTGATTTCTTCGACCCGTAAAAGATTGAGAACCATGTTATATGTCAAGTGGAACGCGGAGTTAATTGGATCGGGCTTCCCTTTGACGATAGCTTTTCCAACGACCGGGCTGACTTGCTCGTCTATCATCAATATAACGATCCCCTTCTCGTCCAGACCTCTTCTGCCGGCACGGCCAGCCATTTGTATGTATTCCCCTGACGTGATCCAACGGAAGTCTTTGCCGTCGTATTTGCGGGGCGCGGTGAACAGGACCGTTCGCGCCGGCATGTTCAAACCCATGGCGAACGTTTCGGTGGCGAAGAGGGCTTTGATCAGGCCTTCGCCGAACAGTATCTCGACCGTTTCCTTCAAGATCGGCAAAAGGCCGCCATGATGGATGCCTATTCCGCGTCGCAAGAGCGGTAGCACGTTTTCCACCTGCGGTAACTTCTTATCCTCGTCGTTAAGGACGTCTATGGCGTTATTGAAGACTTCGTCGACCAACTTCTTCTCCTCCATCGTATTGAAATCCAATTTGGACATTTGCATAGCGTAAATCTCGCAGTCCTTCTTCGAGAAGCTGAAGATTATCACGGGCGCGAAGTTCCTTTCCATGATCATCTTCACCATCTTGAAGATGTTCGTCTGGCCGCTGTTCGACGGACGGAAACCACCTTTACGTCCCTTTGTGTCGCCTTTAGCCGCGTCGCCCATATTTTGCAAGCACGCCATAGCCCTGTTAAAATTCTCTTCCTTGAACTGACCCATCTCGTCCACGACCTGCGTTTTATAAAGGACAAATTTAGCGCACTAAGCTGTGTGTCTTTCGTCAAGTTTACACAAATGCTTCCGCCATTTTTAGCACTTTATGAGTTACATAAGGTAAGGTCTTAATAGAATGGCTGACTTGTACTTTTAAGACAATGTTTTATGCCCAAATTATTATTTTTTATTTTTTTTTTATACAGCGATTTATTATCAATTATAAATGGCTTTTTGATCTAAGACACGAGACAGTCATTGTGCATTATTTAAAGACAAAGACTCAAGGCAAAAAAATTTTGTCTCGAACCGATAAGTCAGCCGTTTGGCTAAAATCCGCGCACTCACCAGATGAATACCGTCGCCGCCCACTGGAAATATATAATGCTGTAACGGTGTAGGCCTGTAGTCCGTGTATACCACGTGGCAGGGTTGTTTGTGCAAGTGCGCTACCCACTCTACGAATTGTCGTGCATTAGGTATGGTAGCGGAAAGAAATACATAATGCACATTGTCTGGTAATAGTATGAGCGTTTCTTCCCAAACCACGCCTCTTTCTTTGTCACGCATGTAATGAATTTCATCGAAGATTACCCAACCGACCTCGCGCATTACCTATATCATTAGTACAATAATTTGTGTAAAAAAACTTAACTAAACCATTTGTATCACACGTATAAAAGAATTTGATTAAGTCGTTTGTATAAAAAGCTAGAAAATTCACCACCAATAGAATTCTCAATCTTGTTGTGATGTTTTATTTCATTTAATTCATTATAATATTAATATACCTCTGAACCTCTATACAGCATATTACGCAGGATTTCGGTAGTCATAATCAGCACGCTAGCTGTAGGATTTATAGTAACATCGCCTGTTACTAGTCCGACATCCTTGAATTCCTCATAAAATTCTCTGTACTTTTGGTTACTCAATGCCTTGATTGGAGTGGTATATATTACTCTCTGTTTGTCTCGAAGTGAACATGCTATTGCATATCTGAAATACAAGATAATAAAAGATTTCAGAAAAAGTTTATCTAAGACAGTGATTTTCCAAAAACAATATGTAATATACACTCACTCGGCCACGACAGTTTTACCAGCTGATGTATGCGCGGAAACCAGAACCGATTGATTGTTCTCAATACATAAAATCGCTTCCTTTTGGAATGGATCGAGTATAAATTTATATTCCTTCGCTGGCTTGCCCTCCTTGCGCTCCAGAGACACATATTCTTGCTCAGGAGGAACAGCAACCTCGTGTGTACAAGCTTCTATAGATTCTATAGTATGTATTTTTATACGACATGCTATTTCTTCTAAACTGAAAATATAGCATGTAATTATTTAGATATAATAGTGAAATAAAAAAGTGTTAACATTATAACTTTAAAATTCTAAATCATATTTTTTAATTACATGGTTATACACATAGTTTGGTGTCCCAAACTAATCTTGGTTTTCATGGTATGCAAATAGAATGGATGAAACTGAACAGAAAAGTCATGTACCATTTTGAAAAACTCGAAATAATGAGGAATTAATGATATAACTTGCACATTGCGGGAATCGAAATTAGTTTGAGACACCCTATATAATCAAGTATAGATAATGTTACAAAATATTTAACATGCAAATTCATAAGAACCATATATTCCAACATATGCCACAGGAAAAAACTATTGTAAAAACTATTGTAAATAATAGTTGGTACAATAATTGTTACAAATAAATAAATAAAATCTTACTTGATATCATCCACGACAGGATCGTGTCGTATTTTCTTAACAAATATTTTATCATCATCTTCGTCATGTTGACGTTTTGCACCTACAGCTGACTCGTTTTTTCTATAAATTTGTTTAAAATAATTGAATAAATCGAGTTACTATAATAGCTTTTAATACAAATTACGACACTTGATTAGGTTAAGTTAAATATCGTGCACTTACTTTAACAGAATGTCTGATTTTGTGGGCAACGGAATTATTTCCACCTCGTCACCCTCTTCGTCGAAGACAGAAAATAAATCATCGATATCATTTTGTGTTGCCATAATTTATAATTATTACTAACTTAATATTTTTTTTAACAACACGTTTGATTATGTTCAACCAACAAGGCTTAGTTCAGTTATGGCTGGAACAACTTAAGGCTCGACTACATCACCATCAATTAGGTTAAAGATACAACGAGGCTGAAATATTCTTCACCGTTAATCTTCCTTTAAGCTGAACTGACCACGCTAGTTTAAAAAATTACGTACACATTGAAGCATATGAAATATACGTACAAGTTCTCAGGGAGAATTCATACTTGATAGGAAAACAGAAAGCAGAAAGGTAACAGCCAATCAGAACTCGCGCTGGTAGTAAGCAATAGATAAAACAGAAACTATTGACTACCAGTTCTGATTGGCTGCTGCTTTTCTGCTTTTTGCTTTTCAAAGTGTTAATTTTTCCTCACTCTACTAATTGGTCTGTTTTTTATAGCTACACTGCTGAATTTGTGCAATAAGTTAGAACGAGATAAAATATACTAGTCTCATTCTAACTTATCAAGTGTTGACCAATGAAATTACAAATATTCTAGTTAATTCGCTAACAAATATATTCCTATTGCCCATTGTAGACTACGCTTTAAAGATATGCAATCGATCACCTGATTGGTTAAATTTCAATATGAGCTTTAAGAAATTGACCAATCGCAATCGATTATTCTTCTCCCATTCGATTGGCCAATTTCTTACGGCTTAAACTTACTACACTTATTGTAGATCCGGTTTTACTTAAGTGCAGTCTACAATGGACAGTAGGAGTGTATTCATAAGAAGTAAGAATAAGAAATTGACCAATCACATTCGAATATATGGAGAATAATCGACTGATTGGTTAATTTCTTACTTTTACTCATAAACATACTACTGTCGCCCATTGTAGACTATGTTCAGTGAAAGGATTTATTTTTCTGCATTCTAACTTATTTTTGATCTTCAGAAAAAGTAGGGTTGAAGAGTGCCTGACATCTTTCAAACGGAAGAATAAAAAAAAAGTTTTTCAGGAAACAAACGAGAGAGGACAATTGCGACGTTTTTATTGTTGGTTAAGTTGTATAATATTTATTAGTTATTAGAGAAAGAATGTAAAAAAAGTGTTTATGTACAGTTTCATAGGTGTGTAAAATGGTTATCTGCAAGTTCTATCGGCAAGGTAATTGCCGTTACGGGCAATATTGTCAATTTGAACATGTTAATCATTTCGGTAAGGCAAACAATGACGATAGTCTCCAGTTATATCACACTTGCCACATGAGTAATATATAATTACTAACTTTCGGAACAGGTGGTCCCAAAACAGACTTATACAATGAGGATGAAATTGCGTAAGTATCACAAGAATTTGTTACAATTACTCGTTTATGAGATAAAATTAATTTTTATCATTTTCTCTATTTCTGTGTAATTCTAGGGTCATTGTGGCAAAGGAGGTCCTTCTTGCTGAAAGAGGTGGACAATGGTTATTGTCATGTTTTGCGCCGCTCAAGGAACGTCCTAGTATTCCAGGTATGGAGGACTTGTCTCCAGAAGAAGTTCGATGGGAGATGTACCAGGCTCAAAAAAGTGGCATGGTTGAGCAAGCAGTCAGTAAAACTTATATATATACACACACATCCACACATATATACGTATAAATTATTTAAAGGAAAAAAAAAAATTTGACAGCAAAGAATCTAAATATTTGTTCTATTTGAATATTCTATTAAAATATATTTGTGATATGTATAATATATCAAGCTGCTTTAAAAATTGATATCTAGAAACTGCATTTCCAACAATTGTGCCAAGATATGAAGGCCAAGAGAGACGCGCTGAAAAATCCTAATCGAGAGACAGTAACCATGTTGGTATGTTGTGTCACGATTCTCCTTTCATAGTTATTCTCACCAGCTGACCAATCTTGTATTAATCGTCAAGTGTTTCGTTTCAGAAAAAGCTTTTGGGAAGTGGTCAAAAAGGTGAGTTGGACGAAAGTAACGCCACGCAACTGGGAGATCCTTCAATTCCCTTTTCTTGCAGCTCCTCAGTTGGGTTTAGCCAACAGCACACCGGCTAACAACGTGTTTGGTAAGCAAACATTCGGCGTGCAAAACAACAATTCGTTCAGCGGAGGCTTCACTTCCACGGGCAACGCGTCGATATTCGGGAGGTCCAACAACAACAATGCAACGCCCATGTTCGGCGGCACGCCGACCTTTGGGAACAACCTCGGCTTCAGCACCACGGCGAACACCAGCTCTATTTTCAGCGGGACTACGAACACGCCGACGTTCGGGGCCGTCGCGTCGCAGACCAATTCCATTTTCGGCGGAACGTCCCAGGGCATATTCGGCCAACCGACGAGCAACAACGTGTTCGGCGGCACGGGCCAGTTGAGCTCGCAGTCGACCACGTCGGCGTTCGACAGTGGCGGTGCGACGTCCTCCACCTCGTTGTTCAACAACCCGATGACTTCCCAGGCGAACACTTCTTTGTTCGGCGCGACGCAGACCAGCACCAGCGCCAGCTTGTTCGGCGGCACGTCGAACACCCAGACGAACTCGGTCTTCGGCGCGGCCACGTCTTCCGCCGGGCCGTTCAACGCCAGCTTATTCAGCCAGCCGAAGACCTTACCCGCCTTCGGCGGAGCGCCAGTTTTCGGAGGAGCAGCGACCAACTACACCGGCAACTCCGGCTCGATATTCGGTGCATCCGCGCAACAACAAACATTCGGTACTCCCGCGATATCGTCGAGCGGAATCTTCGGCACCGGGTCGGCGGCCACCACGACGCCGGCCTTCGGAGCATCCGCCGCCGCTGCCATGACACCGGCCTTCGGCACGCCCGCCGCCGCCGTCGCCGCCACTACGACGCCGGTCTTCGGAGTGTCCACCTCCACGACGACGCCGGCTTTCGGCGCATCCGTCGCCGCCACGGCGCCCGCTTTCGGCGGGACCACTACGACGCCGGCCTTCGGTCTGACTCAGCAGCAACAACCTGTCGCTAACACTTTCAGCACCACGGTGTCCACCCCGAGCGTCTTCGGCGCGCAGAACACCGGCACCACCATACCAGTGGGGAACAACGCGCCGTTCGGGGAGCCGGTGAGCAGTCCGTTCGTCACCGCGCCGAGTTCGCAGTTCGGTTCTACCAGCACGACCTCGGCGCCGTTCGCCAGCGCCGGCTTTGGCCTGCCGGCGAACACGAGCGATACCTTCGGGACCGCCGTCACGTCTTCCAATCCGTTGTTCGCGAATGCGGGAGCCACCTTCGCCTCCTCGAACGCGACGAGTGCCGCGTCGTTCCCCGCGCCGATATTCGGTAACGCGACGTTCGGCGCGATTAATACCACCATGGCTACCACGGCGACGACAACGGCGACGTCGGCGATTGTCGCTAACCCATTCGCGTCCCGGACAACACAGCAGGGCGGCACACCGTTCGGCAACGTCGCGCAAAGTCAGCTTAACGGCAGCCCGTTCGGCAACACGCCGCTCGCCGTTACGGTAACCAGCACTATCATCGACGACAGCATTTACAGCACGGAAGACGCGTTAACCGACGACGAGAAGAGCATGTTCCTGGCGGAGAAGTTCGTTATCGGCAAGATACCGCTGAAACCTCCCACGAAGGATATCAAGTGACCTGATGGGGATTACGGATTGTCAGCGATAGCTGCAGCGAGCGCGCAGTGTGACGAAGATGTTTCTGATATACTTGAAAGCATCTCGTCGATCTGTGAGGTTAATCACGACTGAAGGGGGAAAGGAAAACTTTGGCCCGATGTATATTACGTTGTTTCTTCTGTATGAACGTTTTTTTTTTTTAAGTTAATTAATTATACAGTTATTTACATATGTACAAAAAACGTTGACTGATCGTATCACAAACAACAAGTCTATGAACTCATTCATAGACTTTTATAATAGATTGCTACGGATGGAAGGACAGGAGTAGGAGGAGCATGTGGTGAGATACGCTATTATTAAACTGCATGTTTTCCAAAATGCAAGTAACACGCAGGATGACGACCGACCGACGGGTAACACGTCGTTCCTGTAGAAACTTCGCAAACGTTGCGAATTGTTTCCCCAGGAATTAGCAGAGCCGAAACTTTATTCGCTTCGTCTCCTTTACACTTCATACTTTTGCCGTAACTTTATAACGAAGTATAAAGCGAAGCAGCGTATTCGATTTGTGACTCAATTTGATGCGGGCAACGTTCCCGCTAATCATTGCCAGAAATCTGTGATATACGTAATATGAACTGTACAGGGTGTCCCATTTGAATGAAAACAGTAGAATATCTTGAAAACGAAGCAATTGACAAAAAAATTCAGACGACAGACTACAGAAGTTGTAGAGGGATATAAGTTAGTAACCTTAACTTCAATGTATAGTAAATAATTGAAAGTCATTCCAAGATTAACTTAATTTTTTTTTATGATATTTGGTTTCTTTTTAACATAAATCTATTCCTTCGTTCATTCTGTGTGTAAAAGTATTAAGGTAAGATTATGTGAATAGTGAATATATTATATGATACTTCACGATATTTTACTTTTTACTTCGATATTCTTCAGTATAAAATAGGAAATATCTCAAAGTATTCAATTTTCGATCACATTGTCACAAAATTATATAACGAAGTTAAGGTCACCAATGTCCTCCTCTAAACCAGGCAATTTTTGTCTGAACCATTGTTTTTTGTCAATTGCATTTTCAAAATATTCTACTCTTTCCATTAACATGGAACACCCTGTAGATTTCTATAAATACTGGCAGCGATTGGTGGAACGCCGCCCCGAGTCGGGTCGCAAATCGAACAGTTACAAGGCGCGTTTCGGCACCCGGCGGACTCACGTATACTTATTTTTTTTTCAATATAGAACATGTTGGAGCCGAGTTTGCACAGCAAAGTTACCGACACTGTCGGACACCCTGCATATATATGCTATTCCTAGGCTCACGTGATCGAACGCGGACCGTGTGTAGATTCTATAAACACACCTGCGGTAAATGACACAGGGAGTTCGACGGGTAATTAGTTCGTTGCGTGTAAGTCGTAGGCTGGTTGGACGTCTGCGAGAGACCAGGTGGTATACCATTCGAAGGTTTATAGCCGGTAACCTGGAACAGCAACGGAGACCGCGTTAATTCACGAGAAATCGTACTTGGACGAGTACGGGAGGAGACACGGCGATTGCCAGTTTTAGAGTACATTTCTATTTTAAGCTATCTCTTGATGCAAACTTGACATTTGTAGAATTCTTTTTTTTTGTAAAGATTAGTCAGGATCCCACGCTACAAGAATTATATAGGAAAATAAGATATATCCCGTTCGAAATAAAGTATCGTACTGGAATAATAAAAATCGCAGTAACTGGCTAGGCGCAGAAAGTGAATTGTGAAATTTCCTGACTTTTCCATATACTTTTCACACGATAGCGGAGAATTTTCCGAGCAATGTGCATTCTTAAACTTCAACATATATAGAAACAGGAAAGGTGTAGTAACTTGATGCGTTACGACGTGTGTTCTAGGATTAAGTATGCCGTACTAATCACCGTACCCCTTCCGTACCTGGCGCTCGATTAAGGGCTGGACGGCTCGGGCGCTCACCTTGTCGTTCATTTCTGGGAATATCGTGCTCAGGTTGAAATTCGTGAGACTGGTGCCTGACGGATGATGCGGCATCGTCATCGGATTGCTCGAGACGATCCCACCTCGCACCATGTTGGAGTTCATGGGGAAGCCGGGCGCGCCTACGACCGCGACACCCTGAGCCCCGGCCACGGCCGACGGCGGCGGCGGAAGACCGTTCGCAGTCTTGGCGTACACGTTCGTCTGCGGGTGATTCTGGTAGAGGGGGTTGGCGTGGGGCGGCGGTGGCGGCGGCGGTGGCGGCGGCGGTGGCGGCGGTAGGAAGCTGGTCGAGTGATGATAGTCCTCCAAGGGCGAGTTGATGCCGGACAGGGGGAACTCGAGGTTCTGCATCGGGCCGTCGAGGCCCTTCCGCTTGCCCTTCTTCGCGGCGGTCGTGTACGATCGTTTGTCGCAGTTGGGGTGCTTCCCGTAGTGCGGATGGTTCTTCGCCGAGTTGCCGCTGCTGGAGCTCGTGTTCGCGCTGGACGTGTTGACGGTCGAGCTGGCGCTCGACGTGCTCGTCACGTTCGGCAGCAGGAAGCTGTTCGCCTCGACGTAATCGGTCGTCGTCGCGTTCTCGTGGAGCGGCATCATGTAGCTGTTGGACGCGTTGGAGATGCTGGTGATGAAGTTGCTCGAGGGATAGATGGAGTTGGCGTTGGACGAGTAGGCGGCGTAAGAGTTGAAGTTCTGATTGACCACCTGGCCGTAGCCGGTGCCGTCGTCCGCGCTCGGGAAGTAGTTGATCGGCATCACCGCGGCGTCGGCGGTGGATAAGCCGCTCTGGAACTTGTTCTGCGGGTAGTTCGCCGTGAACTTGATCGACGCGTGCTTATCTTGGTGGCCGCCGTCGTGAACGCTGGTGCCGATCAGCGCTTCCGCCGTGTAGTTGCTCTTGCAGTTCCTACTTCTCCAGTGCACGTTGTTCTGCTGGTACTTCTGCTGCTGTTGCTGCTGCTGCTGCGGTGGTTGCTGGTAGTTCTGCTCTGTGAACACGTGCCCGGATGACTTCTGCTCTTCGTGCCGCTGATGTAAGCTGTCGTTGGTCGTCGTGGACTTGCGAATGTCCATCTGCCGCTTGCTGGTCGTCCTGGGACTCGTGTTGCTCTTCCTCTGGTGCTTCCTCGCCTGTTGTTGCTGCTGCTGTTGCTGCTGCTGCGAATGCTGATGTTGGTGCGGATGATGGTGCGGGTGATGCTGATGCTGCTGATGATTCTGCTGCTGATGGGACTTCTCCGCCTTCTCGTGCTCCACGAGCTGGCTCACGGACAGGAAGGTGGAGGCCGGATGCTGCGCGTTCTGCGGGTTCAATATCGCGTGGAAGTCCCGGCCCTGCACGTTCGCCTCCTTCTCCTTGATCACGTCCTTGCTGGACTCCGCGGTGACCCTCGACGACGGCGTAGCGCCGAACAGGAAGTTCTGCTTTTCCGTCAGATTGGCGCCGAGATCGAGATCGCTCACCAGGGTCTGCAGGCTCGACGGCACGATGTGCTGGTCGATGCACTTGACCGACTGCCCGACCTGCTCCACGTTGTGCACGCCGCTCTTCGTCGGCGACCACGGGAACGGCTGGTCCTCGGTGGAAAAGAAGTTGTCGGCCGGCCGCTTCGGCTCGTTGCTCTGCAGGACCGGCAGGTTCGAGAAACTATGAGCGGCCACGTCGTAGTTGTTGTAGAACTGATTAGGCGTGCCCTGATTGTAGTTGGGCGTCTGGCCGAAGAGGTTGTTCGGGCAGAACTCCAGCTCCTTGCCGATCGGCGGCAGGATAATGTCGATGTTGGCGTTGTGCTTGACCTCGGGCGTCATCATCCAGTTGACCGGCGCCTTGATCGCATGCTGATGCTGGTTCCCCTTGGACTTGTTGCCGCCGCTGTTGGCGTTGTTGTGCGATTGCTGCTGCTGCTGTTGCTGCTGGCCGTGCTTCACGTCGCTGTTGTAGCTGCTGCCGCTGTCATGCGGCAGACCCGGGATCTGACTTTGGCTCAACGTCTGGTACTTGTGTTGATTCTGCTGCTGAGCCTTCTCGACGTACTTGAAGTTCGCGCCGGCGTAGGCCTCGATGGAGTACTTGATCTGCACGTTGTTGTCCGCCAGGTCGAAGTTGATCTGAGGCTCGTAGCTCGGCATGCTGTACACGGCCTTCTCTTGCTTGGACGACAGACTCTGGTGACTCTTCGCCGTGTGCTGTTGTTGCTGCTGCTGCTGATCCGCCATGGCGTTGTATTCGTTCGACATGTAGTCCGTGTCCATGGCGTACTTGTTCTTGCTCTTGCCGGCGTCAGGATACTTGTACTCATTGCCGGCCTGTTGACCCTGCATCCTGTTCTGCTTCGCGACCGTGGACGCGACGTTCGTAGGGTCGTTCCTACTCTTCGACGGGTCGACGAAGGTCTGCTTCTGCGACTCGATCTTCCCCCTCGGCTTGTCCATGCCGGGGATCGTCGAGTTGCTGCTGGGATAGTTGTCGCCACCTGTCAGCACCTGATTGGTGAAGCTCGGGTTCTCCTTGTGCAGAGGCACGTAGCTGTAGTTCTCGCAGATATTCTTCGCCTCGGCGTTGTCGCTCGGATGCGCCTGCTCGAAGTGCAGATTGTGACCGTTGGACGTCGGCAAGAGCGTCGTCCACGACACGATGTTGGACGAATTGTGGGCGATGGTGGTGGTGGACTTGGCGTAGTTCACGGTAGCCGTGCTCTGCTCGTAATTCGACGTGCTGACGAACGTCTGCTGTTGCGTGTAACGCGGCACCACGCTCTGCTGCTGCACCGCTGTCGACTTGTTGGCCATGACGGCGTTGCCCGACGACGCCACGACGCTGCTCTTCTTGTCGTCCTTGCTGGAGTAGGAGACGTAGGCGTGCGCGTCGGCGCCGAGAATATTGCGCTCCGCCTGGCCGGAGCTCATCGCCTCCTTCACCTCGTACTGGAACGACTGGACGAACTGCTCCACGTCCAGCTTCTTCGCGGAGGCGTAGCCCGCGGAGTCGGTGCGCACGTGAGCGTGTTGCTCCTGCAACTTCGAGCCGAGGACGCCGAGCTTCGTCTCTTGGCTCACCGCCGGATTGTCCGAGGTGTCGGTGCTCTTGCTCAACTTGGAGTAGCTTCCCCGTTGGAAGGGGTTCTCCGAGGAGTTTTGGCCCGCGGCCTTCGTAGCGGCGTAGCCTTGGTTCCGCGACGTGGCGTTCGCCTCGCCGTCGGTGGCGCCCGACGCGAACGATATCGAGTCCTTCTGCGTCTTCGCTTGATCCGCCGCGAAATCGTTGTGGGAGCTCGCGATCACGTGCTCCTTCTTATGGACGGGGAAGGCCTGCTGAGTAGCGCTCAGACCCAGCAGCACGTGGCTCTCCTTGGTGGTCTGACTGTAGACAGGCTGCATGTCCTGAGGGGGGAGAATCGGAAGAGAGGATTCTTTGGCTTGAGCGGAGTAGCTCTGCAGGCTCTGCGAGGTCGCGGGAAGACTTCGGTCGACCGGATTCGCGTAATCGCCGGGCCGGTGGTCGGAGACGATGCCGGAGTGATCGATGAGCGCGTCCTTGCTGTGCGACGGGTAGATCGCGACGTTGTGCAACGTTGAGCTCTCCTTGTCCTTCGGGTAGTCCATCTGCAGGGAGCGCAGGGACGAAGAGTTGGTGATCGCGTTGTCCAGGCGCGCAGCGCTCAACATATTCTGGGAGCCGTCAGCGTCGATCCGCGGCACGACGGTGGGATTCGAGTCCTGTGTGGTCGCGTGGGCGTTCGTGAACACCGACGAGGTCGGCTGCAACGTATTGCTGAGACTGTTACCGACCACCGTCGAGTAACTCGGCAGGAAGTCCTGCAGTCCCGACGAGTACGTCACGTCGGGGATGCGACTCGTCGCGGCAGCCTGAGACGTGCAGTCCGCGACGTTGCCCTTGCCGCTGTCCGTCGACGTGGAGACGTTGGCGTTGCTCAGCGTGGTATCGGCCACGGTCACGTGATTCGCCGTCAACTGAACCTGTCGACTCGGGTTCGACGTCAGAGCCGGGGGATTGCCGGCGATGCACGCAGAGTCGACGGCGGGGAAATTCACCGCAGAAGTGTGAGCGGAGAAGGTGCTGGTGGTCGCCACGGGCTTCTCCATGCTCGTCGCCAGGCAGGTCTGCACTATCTTGTACGGCTCTCGCAGCGTCTCCTCGTTCACCACCTTCGGCAGGCTCTTGGCGCACTCGACGGGAAGGATCAGCTCGGGATTCACCGGACTCACGGGCGCGCCGCCGCTCTGCTTCTCCTCGCAGGACGCCTTTAGCCGCTTCTCCGCGATCGCGTGTGACGTCTTGATTTTGAAGCTGTTCGGCTCCATCGCGCCGATCTGCAGCAACATCGGCGGAGTCTGGCTGTGGTACTTGAAGTCTTCCTTCATGTCCTCGTCCAAGACCTCGGTTTTGCCGTTCAGGGACGTCACCAGCGGAAAGGCCATGAGAAACGCCGCCGTGGGCGACATCGATTCCGGATTGTGCGAGCTGGAAGGTACCTGCAGGGATGCGAATATATCGTTGTCCAGGTCGGAGTGTAAGCCGTCCGACCTGTTGCCGCCGATCGGCACGAACGTGTTCTCGTTCGTGTACGACAACGACTTCGACATCTCGTCCTTCTTCGTCAATTTAGCGTCATCGTTCACCACGGCTAACAATGACGCCGACGATGACGAAGACGAGGACGAGGACGACGAGGACGAGGAGGACGATGACGACGACGATACCGCAGCCTCGACGATGCTCGCGCCCGCGTCAGGCTTCATCGTCGTCGTCGTGTTCGTGTCCAAGTTCAGGATGATCTTGTTGCTCTCTGCGCTCATCGCGTCGCTGACTTGTTGCCGCTCCTTCGCCGTCGTGACGTGCAGCAGACTGTCGAAGTGCGTGCCCAAATTGCACACCTCCTTCGAGCCTTCCGAGCCGACGGCCTTCTCCACCGCCTCAACGTCCGTCAAGGTGGACTTCGAGGCCAGTTGTTCCGCGCCTTCGCCGCTCTTCTCCGCTATACCGTCTATCGACATATTGAAGTCGTTGGACGAGCGATCAGGAGCTTCCGCTTCGCGTGCTTTCAGCAACTCGCCCGAGAACTTGTCCGAGACGTCGGACGGCGCGACGATGTCCTCGTTCGTCTTCTTGTCCATCTCAAAGCAGCCGGTGTCCACTATGTTCATCAGCTTCGACACTTTGGAAGAGGCTTCCTCGCGATCCACGTCCGCAGCCATCGGAGTCGCCTCGTTCACGCCGGACTCCTTCTCGTTATTCGCAGCTGTGTGCTCCTCTTGTATGTCCTCGCCTATCTTCTCTATAACGTGCTTCAAGCTCTCGATGGACTTGCAGGTGGCGGTGAAGTCTGACGCCTTCGAGGTCGCGAGCTGAATGCCGTCTTCATTCTCCTTCCGTTTCTTGTCCTCCGGCTCGTCCGCGGAGTCGAGCTCCGAGGACAAACCGCGCTTAAGCGTGCCCTTCCGCACCACGGTCGTGCCGCCATCGTCCTGGCTTTTCGCAGCCGAGTCCTTCGGCGATTTCTTCTCGTTACTCTCTTCGATCGTCTCCGTCGCGCTCTGCACGCTCCGGTGGCTCTTCGAGTGGCTCCTATTACCCTTCGCTTTCACTTCCGACTCTTTCCTATTCGCGTTCTCCTTAGGCTTCTCCACCTTGTCCTTGTGTATCGCCGGGATAGGCACTTTGTAAGTCATCGTCGTCTTTGTGACCTCCTTGCCTTTCGGCAGTATACCCTTATGCCCGCCGATCTTCGTGGCGTTGATTATGTTCTTCACGTTGGACGCCCAATTGTGAGAATCAACCACCATATTCGCGCGGATGCTCGGCACGGTGTTCAGAGTGACCTTCTGCACGGTGTTGATCAGCGCGTGATTGCATATGGAGACGGTGTTCTGGACGCCATTCGGTAAGGGCTGCATCACGATCATCTGACTCTGCTGCGTGCTGCCGAGAATTATCGGGTTCGCAGGCGCCTGTTGCGTGTTCACGATGATATTCGATGTCATCGGCGTCACCAGCGGCATCAGCTTTCCACCGGACAAAATGAGCGTATTGGGGGCCAAGTTTGTGACGGTGCTGGCTATCTGCGGCAACGCCGACTTTTTCTCGTCTTTGCGCTTGCTTTTCTTCCTCAACGCTTTTTGCGACTCGGCGGCTTTCTTGTCCGCTGCAAGCAAAAGGTCGTCTGTAATATGATAACTGCTCGCGCGGTGGGGTCTGAGACAGATATTTCTTGGCCAAAATTCATTTTATCGAAGTTTCACCTCGAGCTGATATGAATACAGTTTTATGTCCTGTAATCAAATAATCATAAATTGTTATCATTCTTCGCTTTTACCGCCCATTGGCAAATATGATGTTATAAACATTGCTCATTCAAAGGTAAGTTTCAGTCACATCTATCACAAGCTGTCGAAATTGTGCTACATATTATATATTTGATAATAATTGTAGCATTATATATATACGTTTTTCATACACTGGAACATGCCTCAATGTAAATAATTTCACATTTTGTAAGGTTTTTTTTTTATTTCTGAAGTGAAGTAACAATGAAATTTATTATTGAAATATGCATAACCCGAAAATGAAAAAGTATATTATCGTTAATAATTTAGGGAAGGTTTTAAAAGTTTCTGAAAAAACAAAAGTTATATAATAATTGCCGAAATTTATTTACCATTGAAATCTATTATATTGCCTGCATCTTTTGAAAATAATTGACCTTTTCTTGATCCATGTAATATGTTTTATCGGATTCTGGAGTTTGGAGCAATTAAGGAATAAAAGTATTGGACTAAATGATGTAAAATTCTCTGTAGAAAAGTAGAAACTGTTAATAAGAAAGTCGAGTTATTTTGTATTCATCTGAAAAGCAAGTGGTTTAAATATAGCAGAAAACTAGTACAGTTTGAAGTTAAAAGTTCCAAATGGTTATCAAAACATTTTCTGCGTACAAGAAATCATATTTATCAAGATCCCGAATTCTGGCCAAAAACTTTGATTTCCAGACCATTGTGCGTTAGTTAGGAGTATACAGATAATTTTGTACTAACCAGTCTTCTTCTTTGCATTTAAGTGCGTGCTAGTTGTGCTCGCCTCGTTGGTAGAACCTGAATTGAAACATAGGAATGATATCAATCGGCGCGCTTATCGATACTGAACTGTGGAAGTTTCAAAATTTGTTTGTACCATTTTGACAACGCTCTGTTTCCTTCGATCCATTGTCAGCTATGCTACTTGTACTATCGGAATTATAGTTTTTACCATTGGCACAATTCACTCGATTCTCTTGATTCTCTATGGAATTGCAGATAGTCTTAGCGATAGCAGCTTCTTCGGACAGCTTTTTTGGAGTAGACGATGTCACGGATTTTCTCTTAGAAGGCACTTTAAATTCTACAGGTTTCTCCTTCCTTTTCTTCTCTAAACTCTTTTCTATGAACGACAAGGGAAATTTTCATAATAGCAGACGTCTTTAAACTACTACATACATATTGTATGTAAATAATCACATACTTTCTTCAATCTTATCAAAATATTTCTCTACATCATCAACATTAATTTTATTCGACCATTTCAGAGGAGATATTTTCTCAAGAGCTGGCTCAGCTGGCACAGAAATTCCAGCTTCTTTAAGAAGACTTGATAATAACTGTGTACGAGACATTAGCTGATTTACGAGCTTCTTCAAACGAGCCAATTCTTCTTCTGTAAAATCAAGATACAGTTACATTATTTAAATTTAAAGAAATCTTGTTTTATATTCATGCACAGGAATAGATTACATACTGTGTGCTTCGGAAGCATGAGTAGAGAATAACTCCTCAGTACGACTATGGAGGTCTTTTATATAGTTCGATGCATGGATAAGAATATCGACTTTGTTGCGTTTGCGACCTTCTTGATGCGGAGGTAGCAGATCTGCTAGAGTTTTGAAGTATGCATTCATACGTTTTCTTCTGTCTCGCTCCCATGTTTTTGCTTTGCTATAAAATTATTAAAAAAACATCGACAAATAAAATATTTCGACGGAAAAAATAAATAACATCAGAATTGTTCACTCTGAGGGATATATTTCGGAGGAATTTAAACATTTTGGCACAAGAGAAATGGGTTGTGTTTAAACAATTGAATTGAAAGTAAATTAGAACGGAGTAAAAATCGAAATATTTCTGCGATAACACATTCGAAAGCGTGGTCGAAAATGCTAAAATATTTTCATTGTGATTCTAGTACGCAGTTTCCAATTTATTTAGAATTTTGACACTAGGAACCACAAGTGAGGAGTTCTGACGACCAAGTGGCAAGGTTAGAAAGTCATGATAAATCTGTATTTACGTGTTCTCCTTTCGTGGCATAATTTATCCGTTTGACATCGTTTCGTAAAAACAGGGCGCTGCGAAAAACGCTGGTGCGTCACTCGCAACTGACATTACGCGATCATTGGAATTGCCTCCGTAATTGTGACATTTTGATATACCACTGATACTTCTGCAAAAACATGAAACGACCAACAGCTACACCGAGAATAAGAACAAGTGAGATGATAAACTCGAATTATTATTACAGCAGGCCTCGTGTCTGGATGTTCGTACATCATAACTGTTGATTATTCGAGGTAGAACTCAAAAGATCGTCCGACTTGCCGTTGAATCATACCACTGGAAGATGAAAGGCCATTCGCCTGGCCTGCCATTGAGCTGTACCTGAGGAGAATATGGCGGTAACATCGTCATAGAAGGCATTGGCCAATCATATGCACCAGATTGATTCAAATACTTCAGAACGTTACAGAACGTGTTGGTTGACGTTTGTGTAGTATCTCGAAAGTTCTTGGAAAAGTGACATATTGTCAATTACAGTAGAAATTATATTTTATCGGAGTGCAGGTGACGTGAAACAAAAAATTAAATATATTAATGTATTTCTTAAGATATTTCGTAAGTGTCAGATTAAGAAGAAGATTCTCTTTGTGATTTTGTATAAGCTGTACAATCATGCCCGAACTGAGGAATATGATTTCTTTTTGTTATTAGCGCTTATTATTTATTCGACATATTTCTACATTATTTTAATCGTTTTTTAACGAGATTCAATTAATTTTTACAGGTGATACTTAACCCATCATTATGGATACCGATGTCAATAAGATGCCTGTTAATAAGATCCATCGTATTTTATTGGATGCTGGCTTACCATCAACTATTGAAGATCTCAAAAATCCTGCGGAACAATACATTATGATGTTATTAACATCGTTCTTGTCACAATTTGGCATTAATATGAACTTAATTGATCAGGTAAGATTCTTTGTGTTAACGACATATACGTGTTAACATACAGTATATGTTTTATTTTTATATTTATAAATAAATAATTTGTTGCAATAATAAGCCTCATGGATTTTTTGTTATACATATTAAGTAATACATAAAAATTACTTTGTAGCCAACTGCAGAACAGTGTGCTATTATGACATATTTTAAGGATTCTGACATAATAAGTCTGATCAACTTGCACACAGCTCTGACACAAATATTTAACAAGATATTTTTAGAAGATTTTCACATTACTGATATTACTAATCCAGGTACAAATTGCAGTTAAAAATTCCAAAGGTATACTATATGAATTTAATATACAGATAGCATGTAATAAACTTTGCAGGACAAAAACGACTTAGGAGGCAAGCCAAATTTCTCGCTAACTTTGTATTGTATGCAATGCAGAAAAAAATAGACATTAAGGATAGAATGGATGAAGTTCATGCTAGATCTAAGCTACTAGAAGAATTAAAAGATAAGAAAACTCAAATTGTGGAGTCTATTAATGATAAAGCTTTGCACAAAGCAAAACAATTGTCTTTGATGAAGAAGGTAGTCTGCTATGAAATATATATTTGTGATTAATTATTATATAATTAGTGATTAATTATTATATAATACATTATGAGTTCTTGTATTTTTATATTGTCACTTTTATTAGCTTGAAAATGATATACAACATGTACAGTCAAAAATTGAAAAGAATAATAAAAGGGAATTAGAACTTGAGCTAATAAAAAATAAAGCAGAAAAGGGAAATCATAAAGCTAAGGAACTTTGTAGATCTGTTAAAGCAACTGTAATGAAGGTAAATTGTTTAATTTTAATTTTAATTTCTAACAATATTAGCAATGTAACATTTTTATTGGCATATGATCGATTTAACAAATTTTAATATGTACATTATAATTTTTAGCTGTCCAAAGAAATAGATGACTTACAGTCAGAAGTAGTATATTCACCAGAAGAGTTTCGATCACGTCTAAATGAACTTGAGGAGCAAAAGAACGTAAAAATCGAGGAACGTGACATAATGCAAGAAGCCATTCAAGATAAAAAACAATCTATGAAACAGATTGGAGCAGAACTGGATATTATCCAGAAAGTGAATGATGAATTGACTGCGCTTAAAATTATATATGAGCAGCTAATGTGATTTTCTAATCATCTTTAGAATCTTATAAGTATACCAAAAAAAAATTACATCTTAAGTTAATATACTTTTTTTTTATTACTTTCTGTCAGGAACCAAAAAACGCAATCAGATAATATTAAGAAGCAGATTGAATCGCTGAACAATATGCGAAATGAACAACAAAGTAAATTATCAATGCTTAAAAGCCAAACCGATAGCGAAGTGAACGAACTCAAATCATATCGTAAGGAAGATATCGTTAAATTGGATGATTTGTATAAACAATTACTGAGGTAATTATTATTTTTTCACACGTATGTTATTTCCTTTTCTCGTAATTTTTAAAATTCTTAATTCGCTAATGTTTAGTGAGAAAAATTCGAAGAAAACTCAGTTAGATGCGAGAAAAGTTTACTTCAATGAGAAGTGCCTAGAAAGAAATAAATTGAAAGAAGAGATTAGAAGAAAAGAAGAGGTATCCGCGGCTCTCGTACAGAATTTTCAAGGAATTTATGACAATGAAATTGCTGATGTGAGTTTTATCGGTTACCTTTATAAATACATTTTTATTTTTACATCTGTACAATTAGATCAGAATATAATTTAGTTTATTAATGTTCATGTTGTAAATATATTTTATTACAATATATTTTATTGAATAGGAACTTAAATTACGGAAAGCCTACAGGGAGTTATAATTGGAAAGCGTTTGGAAGGAATCATCCAATAAAACGGATTGTATCTATTAATTATTATCATATATATAATTATCAGCATATATATTATTATCATATCATACGATATCTCATGAGTTTTATTACTAAGTTCTCATTATCAATGGAAATTGCAGAATAAATCATTTATATTACGTTATATTATGTTTTTACTAGAAGATAGTAATATATTATTCGATTGTAAGTTCTAACACGAAATCGGGACTTAATTTTTATTTTTTTTTAACCATTTTTCTAAACAATTCGTTTCTTATTCGACTTTTTTCCATTATATATAAGTGCGAAGTTGGTCACCGAAACGACGATCGATTTGATTGATACTTGCATCACGTCATATTGTACAAAGGATATCAAGAAAAATCGAAGAAATCTTCTCCGTTGAGTGAAAACAAGCTCAGCAATACGAAAGATGCAATTCATTGAATGCAATGAATTTTAATCAATAGGATTTCAAAGGATCTGCAAGTAACGAGAGATTGCAAGGAATGTATCTTATCATTCGCGACTCGAAAGGATACCGGCTATGTGGATCCTTTGGGTAAGAAATATTTTCGGCGATTTCTCCAATTTTTGATATATAATCAGGGATCTCAATTATTTCCTTTTTTCATATTGTTACATGTTAGCAATAAAATTTTCATAAATTTTAAAATAAAAAGTGAAAGAATCAAATTGCTTTGAAAAACAATAATGTAAGACATTTTTAACACAGGTATTGATTACTCTTTTCCAACTTGTAATCCTATTGATGTTGTCTGGTATCCTGTTTTCCGTCGCTGCCATTTCACGTTTAATGGAAATAATAATTATCCTGGTAAATCCTACCGCTGTATTTCTACTGCGACAATCCGCGAATTTAATCATTGTGAGTACTACAGTTAGAATTTTAACTTTCCTTTAATCAATTCTTTCTCCAGAACTTTTCTTTCTATACTATTTTACCTGAAAATATAAAAAGATATATCTATATATGATCTAAGCAATAACAAATGTTATATTAAGTAATATGTATTGAAAATGATATACAACCAAGACCAGGACCATATAGTCCCGTGGTCAGTTAATTTTGAACACATGTTCCTATACAGTTTTTAACAATCCTGACTGCAAAGATGACGTGCTCAGTGTATCACAAACTCCACGAACTTGTTAAATGCGATCAGGAGGAAGCAATAAAAACCATTGCTATTCCTTCGCAAGAACCATTGCAAGCATTGAAGCAAAAAGTTGCCCCTTTGCAAATTAATTTGCGAGCTCCTTTCGTGCCATATAAGAGAAGCGTCCTTGAAGAAATAACAATATATCCATTCATGGAAAATGAATCTATTGCTGGTCCATCAATAGGTCCATCAATAGGATGCAAGAAAATCATCGAACCTTTGCAAGATCACTCGCATGATAATAATATGGAGAAATTCACAGAATGCAAGAATACTGGTGATGATGATTGATGATTTTTAAAGATGATTTTTAAAAAAACGGATTACGTAGGGAAAAAATGGGAATTGCATAACAAAATTATTTTACTTGTACTTGAGCTATTTGTGTACGAAAATTAAATAAATAAATATGTGTATATATATATATATATAATTTTTTATTAATTAAAATATTTTAAAAGAGAGTATAAATTTTACAACTATTATCGGTGTTACTATTATATGAGTGTGAAACTTTTTTGTATGTTTATAAAAATGTTAGAAATTAATAGATCAGGCAGGACTATTGTGTATGCCGTGTATAAATGTTGGTAGACGCAGCGAAGTAATTTGTTTATTGTCGCTTGAACGCGATCAATTGTGAAATTGCATCGTATGATCTGACAGAACTTCAATTAGTTACCACATATTTTAAGAGAATTCTTTTGTGTCAAAATGTAGCAAGTTATCTTCTGAACTATATACGTACAATAACTAACTATTTTACTTAAGTTAAGATTATTGAGAGATCTGATTTAGAAATTTATCGAGGTAAAATATGAATGTGAGTTATCTAATGTTGCAAAACGAATGTATTATTTTGTGAAATTTGTTAAATGAATTATTATATGGTATGATATTATACTATTAATTCTTAATGAATTACGCAGTTGGAAGCCACAGTAGCTGATTTGAGTGAAAAAATTCCTTGCCTGCGACATATCTTTCGTCCGGAATATGCTTCGTATTTAGCAATAATAGTCACAATGCTGATAGGATGGATGGTTGTGACTTGGATATTTCATGTACGTATCCTATGATCTGCTCAGTATATCGTGATTATTTTATATTAATAATTCTCTTTTATAGTTAATCTGGATGTTGCTGACACCTTTGGCAATAAGTATTATCGCTGTAGCGCTAATATGTCCAACAACTACAAAATGGTATTTCCAGCAATTAGGAACAAACTTGGAAATGATAGTGAACGATTTCGTCTATAAATTTCAAGCACCTCAATAAAAACATTTAAAAAATTGAATAATTAATATTTGTAAAAAATTTGGGTATTTATCTAATTTATGTTTACATTTTTATAGTATGAAATATATATAATTCACTTCATTTATCACAAGCTTGAATAAATTGAATAAAAAATAATGAGTAATTTTTGAAAAATTTATATGAAACTGAGAAATAAGCTGAATTTGATTGTCAAATGTGATATTTTTTTATAGGATATCGTCAAGTTTATCTTTAGTTATATAACATGAATAACATGAATTTGTCTGTGAGACCTAATGAAACGTTTCGAAAAATTACGCTTAACCTTGAATCCTGCAATTCTAAAAATTTTTAAACGTACAATCAGGAAACAAATTGCGCATGTAAATATGTTTCATGGTGAAAGGGAACTGTGCAGAAAGGAAAACGAACAATAGGAAAATCACAGCGATGGGAGTGCAAAACTCTAAACGGTGAGTGTTTGAAATCACATCTAATTCGCAATTGAAAAAAATATAATCGTCGTTTATTATTAAAAAAAAGTATTCTGTGTTTTTACACTAAAAGTATCTGTGCAATACATACAATATGTAAAAAATTAAAAAATTATTAGTTAACTAACGATGTTTTAATGATGTTGAATTGAATAAATTAGATGTCGAAGTTATAGATTTGATAGTGTTAAATAAATTAACAAATTATTATGGCGTATTTACGTCGTTAAAACTCGATGAGCTCGTCCAATTTTTCTTTTCACTTCGTGGTTTGCTGTTCGCCGAACTTCAACTCCACGGCTGTTTTGTCCGACTCCACGAAATTTGCTTGCTCCTGCACAATATTTGCTTGCTGGTGCTTCTCTAACTGTATCGAATCAGCTTCTCGTTTGCTCGCTGCCGGATAGACAAGGACCTTAGGGAGTTTGATCGTTGTGGGAGCATCTGGAGGTCCTTTCTCTGATTTATTGTTCTCCATAAGTTTTTGCGGGGTCGATTGTGCCTGGCGAAAAGTTCCTATCTGGTCATTGAATGCATTCACAGTGACACTTTGTGCGTATGGGTGAGAATTGTAGGTTTTCACAGGATAAGATGTATACTCAGGAAGTGAACTCAGGGGACGCATATTAGGATATGTGTTGAGATAGTATGGGCGCAGAGGTTGCTGATGCACCGAAATTATCGTGTCACCGTACGTATTTCCCGGCTGCAAAAGAAAAAAATATATTTCAGTATTTAGTGTTCATAACGATCATAATTCATGATATATTCAGCAGAATATATATAAATATACATGTAGCAGAAATTAATTGTTCTTTTTTTTATTATTTATAGATGATCATATCTCATTCGTAGAATGTTTTGTTTCTTTCAGAGACCTTTGATCTCAGTATTAAACTTCCAGAGATTAAGTCTCAACGTGTAACTTATTTCGCTTTGTACTCATCAAAAGATTCCGAGCGCGTGAATTTCAAGCTATTGATGATAGAACTAAATTAGGTAAGCAGCAGGATCAGAGGGAGAACAATGGAGATGGTTTTATGTAAACAATAATTTTTTTTATTTTTTGAATAAAGTACATGAGGATGAGTACATAAGGATGTTTTGTCGAAGGCACGCGTAATCGATATAATGTCTGAGATGTTCGGTCATTAAGCTTGCTCGGTCCAATTCCTTAACGGGGTCACCAAGTATATAAAAGGGTTAAACCTGTGCGTGAAACCAAACATTATGTACTCAGTTTTCCCAGTCGAGCTGTCGGACCTTCTTTATGGAAGGACCTTTCTTTATGTAAAGACTTTTCTACTTAATAGCGCAGATAGGAATCTTTTGATGTCGCTTCTAGGTTCTATCGTTTTTAAAAATTTGCACCATCATTATCGCGATATATAACACATCTGTTATTATAGAATTAATGATAGCGCATGGTATTATTACTTGATTATCGCATCCCTGATGGAAATGTTATGCTGAAAATTTGCTGAGATTCTCAATTGATCGTATTTTATTATTATTCCGTCAGTATACACAGTTTTCAGTCAAATTTAATAAATTTCAACAGTATATTTTAACTTTCTTTATATTCGAGTACTTGCTATGAACTTAATGGACAATGAGATGAAAGTTGCTGAAAAATTATTGAAATATACAATAATAAATATTTTAAAATAAATCATAATTTTCATTCACGAAATTCAATGTAATGCTGTGAGATAATGAAAATTAAAGTATAATTCTGAAAAGTAATAGAAAAAAATGTTTGAAATATCTGATATCATGAAATTTACTGAATTCAAAATGAAAATTGCATGTATTAATTAAATGGGATTAAGTGGGAGAGTATTTCAGCAAAATATTTCCACATTATTACTTAATTATCACTACTTATCACTAGTTCAGTACTTACGTATTCTCCTAAAACAGTCGGCTGACTCGATAAGTGGTAAGGACAGGGGGGCGTTAGGAACAATGGAGAAGGCCCGACTTTAGGCTCTACTACAACATGATGCTCGTGCACTTTGTGATGTGTCCTAGGCCAAGCTGGATTCGAGTGTCCCTTATGGGCGCAGATGCACTGTGCCTCGGCTAAAGGCTGAGGTTGTTCCAACTCGGTCACCTGAACAGCGAGAGAAACGACATATTTTATATGGTTTTATTTCTGTTAAAATTAAACTTAACTTCATTACGCATCGATATATTATTTTTATTAAAATACTCAGAAATATGCAAAAGGCTCCAAGAATCCAAGAATACATCTTCTCTAATATATCTTCAAGAATCCAACAATTCATGATTCTACTAAATTTAAAAAATTATTTATGTCGTAGAAGGTTGATTTCATGACTAACCTGCACGGCCAATTTTTCAGGATATAGTTGCACGGGTCTGGGCCTTAAGACGTACAAATCTTGCTTGACTGGAGATTCCATTGGCAATATTTCCACAGCTTGTTGTATAGCTATCGGCTACATTGGGAAAAATATATTGGTTATAGTTTATGATATATATCGATTATTTCGCTCAATTCGTTTTAAACGAGCTTTACTCAAGTATAATTTTAGTTTCAGGTTCAATTGCTTAATATTGAAACTGAGGCATTAGAAGCCATATGATGATCTCCGCTTATATTCTCGAGAAAATGAATCTTTATTATCTACTGCTACCGGTTCTTTTTTTTTTTATTTTCACGACACTTCTGTATTTTTCACATATATCTTAGTGCACTTTCTTCTCTTACCCTTAGTTTCTGTTCTGGTTCCCGTATTTCTGGTGATGCTGGTGTTGCATGATGCTCGATTTTCGCATGATGCTCGTGTTTCTGTTCCTCGCGGATCACCGTCGGAGCCGGCATAACATTGCAGGGAGCGGCGGGAGGCGTTAAGATGTTGACGATGGGAGCTTGTGGAGGTGTGGGAGTTTGAGCAGGTTGTGGGGATTGCATGTAGATCACGTGTTGGGGAGCTGGCTGAGGAATTGGCTGAGGAATTGGCTGAGGAATTGGTTGAGCAACTTGCTGCACGTGTAAGGTCGGTTGTGGTTGCGCTTGGATCACGTGGAAGGGCTGCGGAATTGCTGCTGGCACGAGTTTTGTTTCAGGGACCTGAGCGGGAAGATGAAGGGCCGAATGTTGCATTAACGTCTGCTGGGGAAACTCAGGCTGGACTAGAACTAGAGGCTGTTGTTGCTCTGTACAGGGAACGTTTTGTTTTACTCCATCGTGAACCTCCACGCAAAACGTCGTCGATTTCTTCGTTCTGTCCTTATCCAGGCCAAAATCTTCCAACTTCATATCCTCTTTCTCGATCTTGCTCGCCTTCTCACTGATCGATTTCTTCTCGATGTTCTTGGACGTGGATGGTGCAGCCTGGCAGGCAACTAGTGCCAGCAGAAGCAGTGCGCAACAACTTTTCAGATGCATTTTGCTCAATGGTCGTAGTCGAAGACGAACTCTCGAACTGATGAAGCAGGACTGGCTGCCCGGATTTTTAAAGGGATCTCGCGATCTGTCGCGGAATCGGAATCAAGCTCACCGACGATGAAATCGACACTTTGCTTGCAAAACCGGGTGGCCAATCCGATGCGTCGGCAAATTGCGATGCGTGATTAAACAATATGTGTGTCCTCATTATTTCATAATAGCAGGGCAATTTTGTCATTTCTGTTCTTACGTTCTTATTGTACTCAATTGATTTACTTCATATCTTGTGTTAATGTATTATCTAATTTTATTTGATTTATTATTGCATAGTTTCGCAGTAGAAGGCAACTTACGAAACAACTGCTGCGCACAGAACAATAAAGGGAAATCAGAAGCATTATGAAGAGAAGTTTGTTTTGTCTGTCTAATTTAAATGTTTTATGGTATTCTAAGAATCTGTATTAATTGTGTAATAACAAATTACAGGAATCCTATGGACCTTGTGTAAAATGTTAAGCGAGATATATTCAATGTAAAATACAATAAGATAAAGTACAATAAGCGATATAAATTTTTTTATGTGAGATGCATAAGTAAACGCAGAACTCGTTTTGTAATAACAATGCAACAAATTGCTACATATCTTTAAGCATCTGCGATTTCGTTGACTTGACTGAAATTTGTTTCGTGTCGCAATCCATTGGTGTCCTTACGCATTACACTTTTCGCTTATATGCGAAATTCCGCAAGTCTCAAATTGCGCTCCAGTTTCGCAAACACGATTGAAACTTGGCATAATTCCTGTTTACGTTGAGAAAATATAGGTCTCATATAATTTTGTCTAGTGTGGATATATGTGAAAATACCCAGATAGACAGAAATGCTAAACATAATATGCAAACATTTAATATATATTTTATAATTCCATTACAACAACAACAATATGTTTGAATATGTTTGTTTTAAGGAATATTAATTTATTACGCCATAATTTTAATCAAAGTATTGACTTCTCATATTACTACAATAATTTCAGATTAATTGCGTTTCCTTTCGAGCAAAATAAGCAGCAATATTCATGACATCAGAAATGACTTCTTTTATATATTAATAAAATTCTTATATGAAGACGCATCTTCATGTATTTTTGCTAGTCACGATGAAGGTAATACACTAAAATATAGCTGCTCGTAAAAATGTAAATCCTTTTTTTGTCCTTATCGACACTTTATATATTTTTGTTCTATTATTCTCTTTTATTTACGTAAAAAAGATAATTTTTCTTGTTTATACTATAAATAAATAAATAAATAAAATTAGAATAATTACAATTGAGCAGATTGAAATACTTATGATGCCGAACATAATTATAACGATTGATCTGAATGTCTCGTTATTATTCTCTCATTAATTGCTATTAATTCTTATACTACTAAATAATCTTAACTGCTAATTGATATCGTATCGCGAAGTCAAATCATCCGAGAAATTTTTTAAAGAATCCTTTTATTTTTGGTCATCATAGAAAACATGGTCGGATATAATCCTGTATTTATATTACAATCTCAACATTGCGTCATTCATTACATTGAATATATTTTGTTAAAAAGCGATTTATTCTATATAACTAAGAATTCTTTTTTGTCGTTGGCGTGGAACGCCTTTCGAAGGATTCTTTTGGCGTCGGCTCAGTTGATTCCGCTGGAGGAATTTCAACTTCATCTGTTAGATCAGAATCAAGTTTCGTCAAAACCTCGTCTTGCGTGTTGTCCTTTGTTTGTCCTGATCTGCTGTCGAGAACAGGATTGCTATATCCCTTCACATCGTAAGTATCTTTAACGAAAATCTGATCCTGGTTACGTTCGTCGTCCACGACAACTCTTCCATCCTTTAAAAATCTGCTATGTATATTTTCCGTAGGATTCGCACGCTGTACGTTATTTTTCATCCCTGACGAAAAATCCTTCGTGATGGAGGACTCAATGGGAGTAGGATTCTTCGGAACATTTACAATATTTAAGGGTGATTGCGGAAAGATATAAGGAGTAAATAAGGAGTTGATTACAGGCGTACGGATAATTCTATCGGTACCGACACGTCTCTCGTCCTGGACCGTATATTTGTTCTCATCCCGAAAATGCTTATTACTATTTTCCTCCACAAAGTGTGCTTCAGATTGTCTTGTGTTTTTGATTCCTTTCAAATCTCCGCTAAACGTAAAATCCAGCTTATCGGAGAGCGCTTCATCCTGTTTTGCCTTTTTGTGTGTCCTCCAAATATTCGTATTCGGGAGAATAGTGTAAGAATTATAGGTAGATGTTCCAGTTTTGGCGGTATCCTTATCGAACTCGTCTTCAAAATATCCCCAACCCTCTGCCTCATCGTTGAAGTGTCCGACATCTTTTTCCGCCGCAGGATACACTCGTGGCCAGTTACTTTCACTTTCCTTCAATTGCTTAATTTCGATGGAATCTTGCAAGTTATTACCTGTCGCAAAGTTCCAATTATCGGGGGAGACCGTTTCTTCCTTTGTAGGCCTCCAAATATATAAATCCTGATGTGAGTTGTAGGGATAATCAATTTGCTCATTGCCGTTTTCGAGAGTAACCATCTCTTCTTCTTCCGCGGAGTACTCCTCAGAGAAATCGTTTCGGCTCGGTTTCATCTCTCCTAGACTTGAAGTTTCTAAAGAATCCCTCATAAAATTGTCGTAAACTTCGTCGTCCTTCGCCGGTTTTTGAACATCTGAGTCCTCAAGGAGAAAATAGGATTCACGCTGAATTTTAGGCATACCAAACCCTACAGAATAGTATCTATCTCGAGGAGACACAAGATTATTGTGTTGTTGACCGCTGGAAATTGGGGACCTTGCGATTGAATTCTTCCCTTCTTCTTCGTCCTTATCAAGAATACTTGTCTGGAATGTCGGGAAGAATTTATCGGATACGATTTTGTTCGAGGATGCGTGTCTTGAGTCTTCCATGAAGGTCTTCCATGAAGGTTTCTCATCGGTGCGATAAACGACGCCGAATTTCTTCGCGGGATCCTCCTTATCTTCTCTAGGAACTTCAAGATTCTCTGACGAAGACATTAAGTGTTTATCGCGAAGATTTCTGAAGTACGAGTTTTCCCGTTCCGACTCGCCAAATGATCGTCCTGACGGAGAGACACGAGCGAAAGGATAGCTGTTGACAGGTTTGGCCAGAGACAGGGTCGTCTGCTTGCCTGAGAATTTCGTGAACTTGTCGGAGAAGTTTCCGAGAAATTGATGTTGCTGTTCGGATTTATCGGCGAATTGCGTAGACGGGTATCCTTTATCGATGCGAAGATATCCGCCTGTGGGTCTTTGTTGAGAAAAGCTTCTGTATCTTCTAGAGGATATTGGATTTTGGCTCAAAAAAATGTGATCACCTGCTATATTCCGCGAGATATCTCTTTGAGCCAGACGGAAATAAGGCGAATTTCGGTACGGAGAGACGGAAAAATCTTGCAGGATTCCAGTTTGCTGATTTAATTCTCGACGAGGATACCTGCAAACGTTTCGCAAATTGTTCTGTGTATCAAGTACGGAATGTCAGTCTTTTAAGTTTTTTGAAGATTGTAATTTTACTCACCATGGTGACGCCAACGCTTCTGGGCAGTCCTGGCCGCAGGATAGACAGAGTGCTCGTCTAACAGTTCTTTGCGACGATCCGTAAACCAGGATCGCGGTCGCGGTTAAATAATATAACAAATAACGTTGGAGCATTGGTCCCGACATACTTAAAAAATCTCCATAATGGGTCATGACAGCTCTTTATAAGCTTGCATGCGAAGGATGGAGCAAGGACACGCGGTACCGTTAATGAACTTGTTATCCGGCTTGTCACGAATCGTTTATCCGTATCTTATATACATCCGCTAATTTCCGGTAAAAAAAAAAGAGAGGAAGAGCGTTTTGTTTACTTGACTCTTGATTTGATTCACTTCCGTATTTCCTTTTATTTTCAGGCAAGATGCAGGTGACGACATAATATCGCAGAAGTCTTTGGACGTAGTAAAAGGACTGATACTTTTTTTGAAAGAACGTAAGTTCAGTATATCTAATGTTACAAGCGAAAATATTCGTCAACATTATTTATTAAATATTCATTAACACGTTCCGTGCCGAGGGTCGTTTTCAATTCATGCCGCGTGTACTAAAAACGGTACACGATGTGGAGTTTGATAAATCTGTTATAATTATTTGGTTTATAGTTTTTTGCCAATTGGAAAGTTATTTGTTACAAAAGTGAATATTCAAAGTATAAAACGCATAATAGGACGAAATAAACAAGTTTATTTCAAAACTAAAAAATCGAGAGGTAACAAATAAGATATTGTAGAATAGAACAGAACATTAAAAAAACTATAGCTTATTATGAAACAAATAAGATATAACTTTTTTGAACATTTTGCATTTATAATCGAGCAGTACGATGTAACTTATCGAAACAATATATACTTAAATATACAGTAAAAACATTTTGTACTTGTGTTAAAATCGGTTCTTATTAAAATTTTTGTGTTAAATTCGTAACTCATATGTTAATTTAACATATTGTGTTTATATTATCTCAACATTTTATGTTACGTCGATATTTAACGTATGTAAGTGTTAAAATAACATTTTTTTATATTTCAATGTCGATTAACGTATTAATTTTGTGTTAATTTTCTACAAAAAATATTTGTGTAACTTTTTAATATACTCACTTGTTCATATTTTCTTCAAACATTATTTATTTTCTTGCATGCTCGTTCGTGATGACCACAGTAGAATATACTGTAAGTAAATTTAAATACTGGAACGTGGAGATCGAGTTTAGACCGAAAACCAAAAACGGTACACGTGGCATGGAACGCGTTAACAATATAACTAAAAAATGCTAAACATTACATTAAATGTTAAAAATATTACAAGAAAAAATATATTCATTAATAATATGTAAATTAAAAAAATCATATGATTCAATCTCTTGACTGAAGATGCCAGAGTAGAAGGATTATTCCGTCGGGCAGGACGTCGCGAGCTTCGACGGTATATCCTAAATTCTCTGAAAAAAGGACAGAAGCCTCACTTCGAACATTTAAACAATTCAGCTCTGGAATGTGCGGCAGCCTTACAAATTTTTCTCAGCCGTCTCAAGAAACCTATTATGCCGCAGCATGTGCAGGCATTGATTCTCGGTAAAAAAAAATAATAACAAGCGTCATGAACGGAATTAAATTGTGTAAAATAGCGACAAGCACTTCCTGTATATATATTATATTTTATTTATAACTTGAAATATCGTATGATGCTCGAAAATGTAACGTTCATCGACGAAAATGTAAATTCATCGTCAGCAAAATTTGCATTCCGATGAATTGCGATATCACGATGTTAAACTGACCGATTGTTTATATAACATTTGAATAGTCAGCAATTTAGTTCTAAAACAATCTTGTAGTTAATTTTATGACATCTAGTTTTTAAAGATGAATTATCTTTATTAATTTCCAATTTTCGATATTAAATATATTCTCTCTTTATATAGAGTATCCCATTTTAATAGAAATATCTTGAAAACATGCAATTGACAAAAAAAAATAGTACAGATAAAAGTTGTAGAGTTTGAAAAACATAAGTTGATAACCTTAATTTTGTTGCATAGACAATAATTCAAAATCATTTCAATCCTCCACATTTTATAACTTTCGTATGAACCATTTTTTTTATTAATTGCTTCGTTTTCAAAATATCCCACTGTTTCTATTAAAATAGAACACCCTATATATATGTAATCTACAAAGGACAGATAAATATATGATTTATATTTAATCAGCTGATAATCCAGGTGTGGAGACACAAGTTATCGCGCAAGACGCTTTAGGGCTCATTAAACAGGACGTCGGCGGTCGCCACGGCGAGCTTCTGACCGATATTCTGGATCTCTTGAGACACTTGACTTTGTCGGGACCACCCTCGGAATGTTCCGAATTACGAGGATCACCTTTGCCTATCGCCCTTCTACCGGTGTTCTTTAATCTATCGGTGATGTTACACATTTGAATCGTTCAATATTACAAGAATGCTACGATATAAAACTAAATTTTCAGAGAAGTAAAGGAAACTCATTTTATCCAAAGATGAAATCAAATTAATTTGTAGCACACCACTGATTATGTCTTCAAAGTTTTGTGAAATTTTGGTCCAAAGACGTTTCGATACAAAAAATTTTTTAAGATATGGAGTTAAACCGTTTTAACACTGAGCGACTCAATCACTGCCAACTTTAGCCATGCTTCCATTTTTCATGCTAATTAAGAAAATCAAACATTCGAGTTTAATCCCACAGAATATATTTTCATGGAAAAATTTTTTAACGATTTGTCTTATTTTAATTTTTATCTTGCAGTCTGGCGACTTGATAAAATGGAAGCAGGTTGCGGCTAGATTTAGCGAATTAATTACAGAAGCTGCCGAACAACATCGGAACGAACAACGTGCCGCTTGTACGAGAACTACGTTAAATTCGAGAATAAATGTTGCGGACGTAAGAAATTCCTATTGGAAGGACAATTAAATTTTCATTGATAACTTTCCATCTCGAGGCGATTTTAAATCGCACTTAATTCCAGAGTCGTCTTTAAAGTAGGTTTGCTGTATTCAAAACGATATTATTTTATTTAGGAAGTTTCGACATCTCTAGAAGAATTTGAACAATTAAGGAGATCACAAGGATTTTCCTTATTGTATCCTCTCATCCAACTCACAGACCACTATAACGCTCGTAAGAAAAATACTATCGTTTAATAATTTATATAGTTATGATTCTATTGATACAAATTAATAAAAATTTTATTTGTGATAACTGAGTTAATGTGATCGATTATATTATTTCAATTTAATTATTGTTACTAGGCTTTGGTAAGCAAATTAATATTTTATTATACGTTTCCGTTGACAGGTCACGTTGGCGAAATGGCACGTGTTCTCATTACACCGTTACGACATCCAACTATCAGCAGATTACATCCAGCACTTGTTAATCCTAATTAGGTAAGAATATTATCGAACAGCATATACGCGAATTCTGTGTAAATCATTCTATTTATCTATTACGATAACGTTTATGTAAATTGACTGATTTAATTGTGCTTCGATTGAGACGTGTCTCCTTGCGGTACCAGTAAAAAATAATAGTTATTGATTTAATAGTGATGGTCATATCAATTATAATTGAAACATTCGTTTGAACAAATAAGAATTATTTGCAAACACATATATTTCCAAGTGCTTCTCTACACGTTGAAACGGAAAATAAAAATTTAGTACACATTAATTACACCGTAGAACATAACGTTGTATGATAAAAACAGCCATTTACTGCTAATTCGCTATAAAAACGCAAGTGAAACTTGCTCACATGTACAAGATGTGACTCAAGTATAAGTGGTTAAATTTCAGCATTTAGTTATTTTCACAACACGATACATTTTAAAACTTGCATTTTACGTTGTTATCAAAACAGTTTAGACCAGCTTTCCATGTGCGCTCTCTTGAAATTTAACCGTGCAATTTAGTCGCACGTCGCACATTTTCAAGTGCATTTTTCTATGGTACATCGAAACGGAAATAAAAATCGTTTTACGATAAGCCTACATGTACGGAACTATACATATGTATATGGGATGTCCCAAACAAAAAAAAAATACAGAAATCAATACACATTTCTCATTGATCTCGACATTGAGTTTTTTTGCACTTGCAATTAAAATTACTACCAATAATAACTTTCAAATTCTTCGTGAATCCTAACTTTCCTAGAAATGTTGGACCCGTTTTTCTGTTTTTCTCTTTTTTTTTTATAATAATGAGAAGATAAATTCGCTAGCAATTTACAATCTCTCTATAAGAATAGTTTTACGTCTTAAATAACTTCGCAATAAGATTATCGATTAAATTAACAAGTGATAACTAATTAATTCCGAATCTGAAGAATGTATTCGCGTTACCGATCGGCACATTCTTTGGGACATCCAATATGTGCATGTACGCGCGTGGGAAATAAAGAATGCCACTCGTTCCGTTCATTCGCGCAATATTAGCCGTGACGAAGAGCTGTCATAGAACCTGAGATCAAATTGGCTAATAATGGCTACGACCAAGAAAACCAAGATCGATTCGATGATTGTGTGGGCGACTTCGCCGTCGGTGTGGTTGGCATCGATGGGGACGGTGTGCCCGTTTCAGAGAGCTGCTTCTCGTTAAGTTGATTTCTCAGTCTGACCTTCTCGTTCGTCTCCTCTTGCATCTTTTGTTCATACTGTCGAACGTTTTCCAAATTCATGTCGTACCACTCGTCGATCCAGGCAAAGGCCTGTCTGTGGCCTAGCAATAGGATGTCCCTGATACACTAATAAAATGAAATCAATTTAAGAAAATTTCCTTTTCTGCCGGAGAGAAATGGATTTCGAGTATTTTATTTATTAAACTTACCCTATGTATGAAATCCTCTACTCGCGTCTGCATGCCCCAGACTTCAAATGAGGCATGGACCAACTTGTAGGAACACATTATAGGTTGCGTCGTGTCCCTCCAGCCTTCAACCAAAGGGCCACGGCCCGTCCGTTTTGATTGGAAAAATTTTGGATCCTGTTATATTAATTAAAATAAGATGTAATGTTAAGGAAATCCTGAAGTCGTCCTGTTTTACCGCAAATTTGTTAATACTATATTCGTTACTAGCTGCATAGAATTTAAAATCCTTTTACACAATTACAATACACACGTTAATACAGGCGAGGACTTTATTCGAAAAAGAGTTAGATAATTTGTTAGTTTTTTTTTTCGTTTTTTGAACAAAATCAATTATCCTCGTCTACATCAAAGTATGTATTGTAAAGAAATTCTTGTGATAAAGCAGGACGATTTTAAGATCCCTTTAAAAATGAAATAAAGACTATTTCAAGATTTCGTAGACTTACTTCCTCCTCTTTGTAATGCTTTGCCGAGATTTCATCATACGCGATATCCACAAAATCGACTTCTCTATGAATCAAATTAATGGGTGACAATCCTAAACACTGCAATTTAACATGTTAATGATGAATCAATGATTGTAACAGAAATTAGAGATATATTAATTATGCAATAAGAGCGACTTACATTTTCTGTCGAGCCATTGTTGTCTTCGTATCGTGTATGTATTACTACGTGGAACTTTGGTATGAAAGAACACTGAAAGAGAAAAATTCAGAAATAATAAGAAGTTTTATGGCCATGCTTCATGTTTAAATTTACTTACAGTATATTCTGTGGTCACCACGAATGAGCATGCAAGAAAATGAATAATATTAATAAAGAAAATTACCTTCTATATCAATTTGAAAAAAATGTGAATAGTTTAAGGATTATTACTCTGATTAATATTAGAAGAGCCAGAGGATAATTTTAGATAAAGCACTTTGTATTGTAAAATATTAACAATATTGATCATGAAAAGCATTAATTATGAAATCAGATGAAGAGAGATCAGATATAGCTGTAACATATTAATTAAGTATACCTGTGATAGTAAAAGGATAATAATTCCATGCTTTTTCTGTCACGTAAAATATTCGTGGTAAGATAGATTGTATCCAGTAAGGAAGTTTACTGCAAGAAAAATAGAGAGTTATAATAACTATGCAGAAAGCAAAAATTATCCTAGTTGGTTAATACTTAGAAGCGCCTATATACATATATATATATACATATATATATTTTACATTGTATGATTCATATTGGGAATAAGTTCACCTGGAGAGATGGATTCTTTTCTCAGTAAACTGTCCTTTTCCATGAACAGGATCTTCGCAGGCGGTATTTTGTATAACTTCTACACCCTCGTCAGAATCAGATTGTTCATGACTATGTCTGGCAATCATATATAATTGGCCAATGCGGTACTGTACAAAAATAGAATAGTTTAAAGGGATCATTAGAAAAAGGATTATTTTCTTACAAATTCACAGATAATAAGCAACAGTATACAATAACAATATAACAATAATTTTCGGATAAGTATGAACGTTGATGCCAGATAAAAAAAATTAATATACAATCGAATGCACAACACTTAGGTGTCACCTCTTCCGTGGTTAACGGCATGCAAATGCGATATTCCTTCGTGAGGACCATTGTCGGCTGATCCTTGCTATTGTTAATCAATTAATCGAACCGCAACGCGTGTTTCCTCGTATTCGCCTCGAAACATCAACTCCACTGGTCAGCGTCGATTTACGATAAACAATCCGCCATAACGGCCGTGAAGTTAGCCGCGGTGGGAACGAAAGATCGATAGACGAGGTGGCAAGCTGCGAGCGATAAGATCACCAAAACGCGAGAGTTGGCGGTAATGAGAGGCCACCAGGCGGCCGTTCGGTGACAATTTCACGTGTTACGTGTGCAAAAATTGTGCGGATAACAAATTCGTGGTACGATGTGCAGGTAACACCGACGCGTTGGTGCAACATGCGATGGTGAAGCAGGCAAGAATAAGAGGCGGCGGAATTATAGCTGCACGGTATCGGTGTGAAAGAAGGAATCCGGACGGAGGAGAGCCGATCGGCGCCGCCAATGGCCTACGAAGCGTTATGGCATGAGTACATGCAGATGCCTGTGGTGACGCGGGCTTATACCACAGCCTGTGTCATCACAACTCTCGCCGTGGTACTTATCTTGGTATTTTTCCACAGCCTTCGGCTGCATACGACGACGTGGACGACCACGTCGCCCCTGCGTGACTTGTCTTTCGTTGTAACCTTTGAAGTGATACGCGGTTTTTTCCACTCTATACTTTTTCCGTTCTGTAGATTTTTTTTGGATTCTCCGATCCCTGAATCTACGGATTAACGGGACTTTTGGATCTCCGGATTCCTAGATTCTCCGATTTTTGCACGTCCTTTGTCTTGTTTTTAGATTCTTGCACTTTCAGGTATCTGTATTTGCTAGATTCAAGCCTTGTTTTGTGCCCATTTCTCTTATTTTCACTGAATTCCTTAAGTTTCATTAAGTTTCCTGTATGTGTATGTTAATAACTTACAATGACTTTTAATAATTATTGCTACAATATAATTTTTTTAATCGTATATATATGATATTAAATATTTATATTAAGATAAATACAGTGCGTATATTAAATATAATAGTGATATTATATTTAAAATTCTACTAAATAATGCGTAAAATTGAACAATTTATTGAAACATGTTTATGTTCTAGCAATTGGACTTGGTATCTCCATTTCAATTGTATTTTAATCCTATTCTCATAATTGAGCAATACCAGGTATGCAATATTCTTATTTAAAATATACCAATAATTTGGGATTATTATTAAGCAGTGTACTAGATTTATATATTTTGTTATACAATGTTACTATCAATTATTTCAGATATGGCGGTTGATAACAACATTCCTGTTCTTTGGAAATATAGGGTTCAACCTACTTTTCAATATGATCTTCACATATCGATATTGCCGTATGTTGGAAGAAGGATCATTTCGCAGGAGAACAGCTGATTTTGTAATGATGTTTATTTTTGGTGGAATATGCATGATCGTATCCTTATCAAATTATTATTATAATCAATTGAGGTTAGCGACATTTAGTAATACCAAATTACTAAGTATAGGATTGTCATAGACTTGGAAAAGTCAGGGAAAGATATAAAAAAGTAAAAAATTTTGAATTTTACTTACAATCCCCTTAAATACTCTTATTCTAAAAAGTATGTGCAATTTTTTTTTTTTATATTTAACATAGTCAAATACGTTTAAAACTTAATCAGTAAGAAAATGACCAATCATAGTTGATTATTCCTTCAGAATAATTGAACGTGATTGATTAATTTTATTCAGTCTTTTTATTCAGTCGCTCTTTTTTTGTCATAACTGCATTCTTCTTTCCAACAATTTATCTTTTGTTGGTTTAAATTAACACTCAGCGTTATATTGATTAAACCTCTAAATTTGTGTTGCTTCTAATAATATAGACTATTTTTCTACGACTCCCTGCTTCTAAGTGTTAAAATATAAGGTTAATTTAAAATTTAAGAAATTTAAGAAAATTTAATATTATGGAAAATTCTCTACTATCATTTGGAAAACATGGAAAAGTCGGGAGATTTCAAAATTCACTTTCTGTAGCAACTCTGAAGTGATACCGTATTTTTAAAAAGGTTCCATTATTATGCCTTAATTGCATTATAGACCTTTGCATTCTTTGTCAATCTGCTGTTCCTAGGACATGCATTCACGATAATGTTGGTGTATGTCTGGTCACGACGAAATCCTTTCGTCAGGATGAATTTTTTCGGACTGTTAAACTTCCAAGTAGGTTTCGCTGAAAAAACAAGCACAAATGGATTACGTTCGATTTAAACGATTATTGCTATTCAGATTTCTATCGGAGAAATATTGACGATGCAGTGATTAATTTTATAACCGTAGGCTCCGTATCTACCGTGGGTATTGCTGGGCTTCTCGGTATTGCTCGGCAACACGATATGGGTTGATCTAGTTGGAATGGCGGTAGGGCATACGTATTATTTCGCGGAAGACGTATTTCCGCGATTAAGAGGAGGTTTTCGAATCTTGAAAACTCCGCAAATACTGTAAGTAATAATTATTATTATACTATTATTAAAATTGAAATAATGACTATATCACCAAAGTTAAATTAAATTTTCAATTAAATATTCCAACAAATAACTTTTATCACGAAAAATACTTCGCATAATAAAAAAGGATTGTGTTGTTTAATCTGGCCATTTTTTCTTCAGTAAGACTTTATTTGACGCACATCCGGAAGATCCGGATTACATGCCACCGCCGGAAGATCGGCCAGGTGGCTTCAATTGGGGACAGGAGGCTAATGTGCAGTGATCGAAATTCCATAGCTCACTTCCTGATGTTTCTGACGTCACCCAAGAAGGCAGTTGCAGCAGGCAGCAGCTCTATTGTTGTTCCTTCATCTTCGGAAATTACTGATAACAAACGCTCGGATTTGCACCCAAAGACGCGTAATGAGATGTGAAGGGTAATATATAAGCTGTACAAATGATTGGATGGTTTCTTTCAAACGAGAATTTCCCGAAACAAACTCGCGGAGTTGACGCTTTTTCAGCCAAAATTCATCACAAAGTCCAATTCTAAATTTTATGCAGAAGTTGAGACCGACGATAGCTTGCGATCAGATAATTGTTGAGTGAAAGTTGTCTCCAAGAAAAAAAAATGTATAGTTAAGAAGTGCGCGAATTCTTAGGTACTTTGTACGCAGACAAGGAATGGAGAGATGTGTATACTTGACACGCTTTTAACGTAGCGAGTTGATTATCGATTCCATTCGACTTCATGTATATGTTTTACATGCATTCTTAACTGCTCGTTTCTGCGTACAAAATCTGGATTTCATTAATAACATTAACATTTTGGTAATCGAGTATCGTGCTTCTAGCATCACTGCGAGAAGAAGTCATGATTTGGACTGACTTATTCAAAGCATACAAGGCGCTGCCGAATTATATTATATTTCTGTTTCTAAGACTCTCTCTCTCTAATACATTTGGTGTGAGTGAAACTGTACAGATTAATATTTATAACTTGGGTTATATATTACTAAGTTGTTGCGCGTAAGGTGTTCTGTATATAACTTCACACCATGTATAGTAGTTCATTTTGTCCTGATACATCGTAGTGGCGAATGTTAAAATATTCGTAGATTGTCTACTCAATATTTCGGATTAATTTTGTAATTCAATGAACAAACGATATTTCACGCACGCGAGTGCGATTGAATCGGCCATTCCGAGAATTAATCGTCTCTTTCGCAGATATATATACTTCCGATTCCGTAGCTAATGGTGATTGTAATACTTGCAAATTCATTAGATTTACTATTTATTGAGAGCGACATCACTTTTGTAAGAACGATATTTGCGATTGGTGGTGACTTTTGTGATACATTCACCGTGCTCATAGTTCTTGCAAATATTAAAGAGGGAGAGAAAGAAAGAGAACAAAAAATAAAATGCCATTGTATGGGAGACTATTTTAGTGTATTAAAGCATTTAATTATATTTATTATGGTAGCGAAGTGTATAATCTAGGCAACATCTACAGAGTACAAATCGTTAAATATAAACTAAAGAAATAATATATATATATATATATATATATATAAATATATATATATATATACACACACACACACACAACACCTCCCATTCTCTTTGTTCATACGTGTATATTATGTACTATGTGAATATAACAGAGACTTACATTGATTATAGTTAATTACCGTCGTCTCTTCTTTCATGGAAACGATGGGAAAGTAACGTTCCTTCTTCTAGGATCAATGCGTTGCTCAATTAACAGTTTTTTTTTTCTAATCTGCTGTAAAACGCTTTCAATTTTTACGTTCCGAGTGCTTTGGTTAACAAATTAAACGAATAATTAATAAATTACTTAGAGATTATTGGTGAATGCGCGAGTCATTAAATTTGCAATAACATCGAACATTTTAATTTTTTCCCTCGTGGAATAATGAACATTACTTTGCCACGTGCAATGAATAAATGACTAAATTAGATGCGGACTTTTTCTGTGATCCCGTGAGTATTGCAATAGTATCATAAGAGAAATAAAGATGAATTTTTAACGTGAGTCGCCTCTACGATTAAACGTTAACGCAAATTTATTTTGTGCAGTACACCAATTTAGATAAAGGAAAAGGAGTTTGGAACTCCCGATTTCGAGGAATAATCGTATAATCTCTAGAATTCCTTCCGTCCTTAAGCTACTAAAATCTTTCTTTATCCCTCTAAGTTTTAGACTTGCAGCTCTTAAGAATTGTAAATAATCCCTTACATTTGCATATGTTTATCTCTCTTCTTATATATATTTGGCTTCCAGAATCCTGGAAGGTCCTTTAGTCCTTCTAACGACTTTTTGGACTTTTAGCTCCGGAGATTCTCAGATCCTCGCGTGTTAGGTTGCACGAAACCACTTTTGATTCGACGAATGTTTAATACTTTGTATTTATAATTCTGACGATATTTTCCTATGATGGATGTTTCGATTTGGGATTTTGGATTATTATATCCTTCAGAAATCCTGGGATTCCCGGCCCGTTTCTGAACGTTAACGTTGCTCATCCGGACAATCGATGTAATTAACGATTACATCCACGATCGTTTCCTGTTACCACGCGTTTGTATTAACTCTTTCAGTACCCGGAATGAGATACACAGATCATCAACCTTGATTTCCCCTCTATTTGATCTTTACGCGCAATTTCTTTTTATATTTCATTTATTGGTTGCGGAAAAAAGGGGGACGAGAAAACAAAGTGACAACCGACTGATTAGCCGAGAACAGTGCGTGTGACACGTAGGTGCTGAAAGGGTGAATCGACAAACGCGTTCGCAATCGCCAAAGAGTACTTTAACAATTAACGAAAAGCTGTAAAAAGAAAACGAGTAAGAAATAATGAAATAGGATATAAGAGAAGAAGTGATTTTACAAAACCATTTATTTCGATTTAAATAATAAATGATTAAAGCGCAATAGGATAGTAACGATGTATAACTGAATACACGTGCGCAATGACATGGACTATAATACAATGATCGTCGGGGCTCTATTGTACACTCGTTCTTTATTGTTTTATCATATTGCCACTGTTGCTAAAAGCACCGTGATGTCGTCCGGTTTACCACCTGAAATGTTCGAAACTCGCTTTGCATATTCTATGTACGTCGTCCCAAAGCATAATTTTCACTTAATTATTCCTAAGCATCTGGGATCTAACAAACTGGCAGTAATCTATTATCTCCGGTAATTTGCTTGCACAGTACCGAGACAATGTCATTTCGAGAAAATACCCTCAACGGAAGACGAGCTTTCGAGGTTTGACTAGGGTTTAAAATTCCTTTTGTAAGAAAGAAGATTATAAATAAATATTTAACGTTTCGAGAATTGAAGTTATTTATGAGAGCGCTTTCACGAGACTTTTACGAGATAATCTTTCTGTCCTGTTTGCACCGATGTATACATGGAATCCGTGCTCTATACGAGCGATTATAAGTAAATATGGATAATTCGATTTTTTTCTTTTACATACCTATCGCGTCGATCCCATTCTTCTGAGCACTTTGAGCAAACGGAGACATGAAGTCGCCGTCGAAGGCCAACCTGCGCGCCATCAAGGCTATCGAGTTAGCGACGTTCTGTATTTTCGTCGGGTCCCTTTCACCCTCGATCTTTCGCATTTCGGTGACTAGCAGCTGGTCAGGCACATTGTCAAATACCCCGTCGGTCGCTAAGAGGATCACATCGCCATCCTCGACGCCGAAACTTGAAGTGTCGGCCGATTCTGGACTGTGAAAGAGAAAGAAACTTATTATAAACTTATATCCACGACGAATTTGATGTTATGTGCTGACGAACACACAGATATGTGATAATATAATCTACCTGTCGCTAAGCACCAGGCGAGAGTGTCCCGGAGGTGGTAGCGATAATTGGAAGGGAGTGTTGAAGTAATGTTGCTGCTCGGACGAGCGATGCACCACTTCCCCCCTTCGCACGACTACAAAGCCACTATCTCCTATATTGGCTGTGTAAATGCTGCTTGTCTCTTTATTGAGAACTATAACGCATGCAGTGCTGCTACCTGAAACACGTGGCGAGATCGAGAATTGATTTGATGTGTTTAAATAACGAATTAACTTTCAATATCAATGTAATTTGTGACACCGAGAAATACAATCGACATACCTAATATTGATTGTTTACTTTCTAATAATTCGTAGTAACTACGTGCTAATAAGCCGGCTGGTTCTGTAGGTGCGAATTTGTCCATAGAAACTAGCCTCTCGCAAGTTTTCATCAAGCAACTAGAAAACTCTCCCGGATCGATTCCGTAGTGTCGCCACCCTCCCACGCCATCAGCTACGCCTGAAATACCATAATTTAAGACGATAATTAAGATACAATTATTCATATAACTACTTTTAATTGGCTTATTTTACTATTGTATAGAGCCTAATCATAGAAAATACATCCATATATAAATAACTGCTTAGAGCCAAGTAATTCATTGCATCATGACTTCAGGTTCAAAGTTCACATTGCTTCACATACTAACAATAGTGTATACATATGACTCATTGAACTGCTATTTTGCAAATAACCTGAAGAGAAAAACTATATGAATGAGGTGTAACTACTTGTAATTCATCTCAGGTCACATGTGCACAGAGTATAAGCAGCATATTAGAAATTTTATGCTTAAACTGTACAGAGACATGTAGCAAAATTACAAACACTAAACTATATTATAAATTATACATTTCTCAATCAGAAATATATGCAAATTTAAATTAATATGTATCTTTCACGATTGCATATTTTTATACCTTTTGTATTTAAAATGTAACAGATGCAAGATCATATTTAAAGAGGAAAAAAATAGAACACTAAAGAATACAGAAAATATATGAAATACAAAAAAATTTTAATCCAGTTTCTCATCTTCATTCCTTATCCTGTTTATTATTTTTCCAGGTTTATAAATTTTAATGCTTTCGGAGGCACCTTTAAAAATATTCTTGTTCAGAAGCTTCAAATAAAGAAACGAGAGGATGAAAAAGTTGGATAAAGTTGTAAATAGTAAAGCTAAGAAGAATAAATCCGTATTCTTAGTTTAAAATGACATCAATCACCGTTGGCTATTGGTGACAATATGAAAATTCTTAACAAGTTTCAAACCTGTCCCTTTCACAGCAATATTTTACATCTGCACCTTCTAACTCAACCATTTTACATTTCCTGCATTTAGGGAAATACATAACACGTATATACAGGAAATTTGAGAGGAAGATACAAGAAGAAGGAAGAAATATATTTTGACTATACATATGACTAAGAGGACCAGGAAAATAATTATTGAAATAAGTCGCGTCGCCTTCCCTCCCTCTCTCTCTCTCTCGTTCTATCCTTCTCTCTCTCTCTCTCTCTCTTTCTCCCTCTTCCTCGTCGCCTTATTCCTCACCTATGACTTCGCCAGCCTTGAATTTGGCGTTGAACCAGGCGTCGTCGCCGAATTGACCTCTGCGCATTCGGCCGCGCTTGAAGTCCTTCGGGAAGCCGCATACAGCGGAGACGAAGGAGGCCTCGCGGCGCTTGCTCGCGACGAAGCCCGCGTTTGCTTGCTGCTCGGCGCCGCCGGCGGAGTAGCTCGCGATGCTGTTCCAGAGCGCTCGCGACAGCAGCCGACCGGTCCAGTAGATCGATTGCATTACGATTCGGCCAATGTTAAAACCCCGGCGGCACCACGCTCACGACCTTCGCACTGCCAGCAGCACCAGTACTGACGACGACGACGGGCTCGCGACGCGCATCCTTCCTCTCTCGCACCCTTGCCAAGTCACCCGATAGGTTATTCCGCTCCGGACACTCGCACACACCAGCACACTTGGATGCACACTCGCGGATGCACACCTCGCGTTTTGGCTAACCTCTATTCGTCACTTTCACCTCCAATAACGAGGATCGTCGAAGAAGAACGTGAACACCACCGCGTGAGACCAGCTGCGATCGTCCTCACACTCCTCGCCCGTTCAGCACACTGTTTCGCGAAATGCATGTAAGAGGGTTCCCCTACTCGGAATCGACGTGCCGTCACGTCACGTGGCGCGCTGCCGTCGACGTAATTATCGACTCGACGCCAAGTTTTTTTTTTGAAAACTGACGTTTCACTGGTCGCACGACGGTTTCCCATCTAAGTCACTACGATCGGTGAGGCGATATCCGTGGTGTGCACCATGGCGGAATTTAACGTATGTACGTGCGCACGTGTAATGTGTCGTGCGCGCGGTCGCCGTCGTTGTCGTCTCCGTGATTGTGATAATGTAACAGGGCCCGCTCCGTCTCCGACGACTCTCGTTTCTAAGCTTTACATCGCCCCCGACGATTCTCCGCGGACTCCAGAATGAGCACGATCTTGGAAAAGATCGCCTCTATCGAGGCCGAGGTAACCTCTCTTTCATCTGTGTGAGACGGTGTCACCCTCGCGATTCGAAACGGCATTTGCCGTTTAACGATGATTTAACGATGATAATTGCTCTCGTAGATGGCCCGGACCCAGAAGAACAAGTCCACTTCTGGACACTTGGGTATGTTGAAGGCGAAATTGGCGAAACTCAGGCGCGAGCTGATCACACCTAAAGGCGGCGGTGGAGGCGGCGAACAGGGTTTCGAAGTCGCCAAGACCGGTGACGCTCGCATTGGCTTCGTCGGTGTGTTTCTTAGGTCGATCGATCGACGTTCCAGGAGGCATGATTGTTGTATCCCTATATTTTCTATTCGCATCGTGCAGACATATGGTCTGGTTTTGTCAGCGCTTCTCAGGACCTTGGTGGAATGCTTGAGAGCCTTAGCAGAGTGGCTGACTCTTGCTTTGTTGAGACAATGTCTTATGTTCTCAATCTTTGTCTGAATATTTTTCTATTTTTTTTTATTATACAGCGATTTGTCATCAATCACAAACAGGACAGCTTTTAGTTTAAAATAGACATAAGCATTCTTATGTGTTATTTAATATTTAAGATATTTATGTATTGTTTGAAACTGATAAGTCAGCCATTTTGCTAAGGTCCTCACTTTCAATTAGATTGCAAGATTTCATTAAGATATTTCATTTCATTTAGATATAGAGGATTCAACATAGGATTTTGAACGTTACATCAAATATGAATATATCCTCAGATAATAATCCAAAAGATCTTATACAGTCTGAATTTGTAGGCTTTCCGTCCGTTGGGAAATCCACCTTGCTGAGTACACTGGCTGGTGTGTACTCTGAAGTGGCTGAATACGAATTTACAACACTTACCACAGTCCCTGGATGCATAAAATACAAAGGTGCAAAGATACAGGTGAATAAACGAGTCTGTGCTTATTAATTTTAATTGTATTGAATGTGTATTACGTACAATTATTAGTGATATTCTTTATTCAGAGGGTCCTTGATGTCGCATGCTTTGGCATTTTTTTTCATTTGGAGCCGAACGTACACGAGAGTAAAATTAAATAAAATTGTAACGGAATGCGCCTTGCAGCTGTTAGATCTTCCAGGTATTATAGAGGGTGCAAAGGATGGTAAGGGACGTGGACGGCAGGTCATAGCTGTCGCGCGAACCTGCAGCCTGATCTTCATCGTTCTGGATGTGCTCAAACCGCTCGGCCACAAACGGTTAATCGAACATGAGCTGGAAGGCTTCGGACTGCGACTGAACAAACAACCACCGAATATAACTTTCAAAAAGAAGGACAAAGGCGGTATCAATTTGCAGACTTTGGTAAGAAAGTATCTCGTCGAATATGCATATATATGTATAATTCATCGATATTAATGTGCTTTCTATGACTCAATATCGCGAGATTAAATAAATCATTATATACTTTCAGTGCCCACAATCCGAACTCGACTTCGACTCAGTGAAGATGATCCTTTCGGAGTACAAAATCAGCAACGCAGAAATCACACTGAGGTACGACGCTACCTCCGACGATTTGATCGACGTTATAGAAGGGAATCGCGTTTACATCCCTTGTATTTACCTATTGAATAAAATAGGTAATTATGCCTAATTGACTCGATTGATTATGATAGAAGAGGAATCTTTACGTACTGACCGTTGGTCTCGTTGCAGATCAAATAAGTATAGAGGAACTGGATATTATTTATAAGATTCCACACTGCGTGCCGATCTCCGCACATCACAAATGGAATTTCGACGATCTACTGGAGAAGATGTGGGATTATCTACAGCTCGTTAGAATGTAAGGTCATGTGATCTTATTATACACTATCGTCAGAATTTTAAGTAGATTTAATTTCTATTCGAGTTCATTGAAACTTAACAATATTTGATTCTTTCAACAGTTACACTAAGCCGAAAGGGCAACTTCCAGATTACAACGCGCCTGTAGTATTAAACACAGAAAGGCGAACCGTCGAGGACTTCTGTAATAAGCTTCACAGATCGATCGCGAAAGAATTCAAATAGTAAGTTCTCGTAATTTAATCTATAAATGTTTTGAGAAGAAAATAATAATTTGTAATTTGCAAACGTTGAAATTATAATAACAAATTATTGTGTCGTAGCGCGTTGGTATGGGGTTCATCGGTGAAGCATCAACCGCAGAAAGTGGGGAAAGATCATCTACTTTGCGACGAGGATGTCGTGCAGATTGTAAAAAAAGTGTGATTTTATCATGTGACGTTGTACGGTTATCTCTCGGCAGCGCACAAATAAAATTTATTAATGAAATTGATACGATATATATTGATATATAATTTCATAATTAAATTTATATATATAGTGTCTTGTATAGGACCAAATATAACGGGTCTAACAACAATAATCTAACGTAACGGGTCTATCTTTTCTTCTTTGTTTCTTGCAGAAGAATCTTGCATGAAGCGACATCTCTTGAATCGTACGTCATCGCGGAGACGTAACGGGTCTAGCCGTGATAGGTTTCGTCATAACGGGTCAATAGCAACAGGTTTCAGAAAAAATGCCAAAGATGGCGTTGGATACCATTAATTGAGTTAGACCTGTTATTAGACCCGTTGTTAGTTTCTGCTAATTCCTAAGACCGGCATTCATAGTCAAATCTTATGTCTTAAATTCATCATCTTCAGTCATCTTCAGATGCTTCATAGCCGATGGAATGAGCCGTACAGCATCCGAAGAACTCCTTAATCTTGCTTTAAGATTTAAGCAGTAATCAAACGAAGTTGACCAACCATGGTCGTTTAGAAGAATAATCGATCGTGATTGGTCAATTTGATTACTGCTTACGTCTTAAAGCAAGATGGTCGACAAGGGAGAAGTCTCTATTACGAGCTGCGACTATCCTTAACGAGAAATTGAAGATGTAATATGATATAATACGGGACAGGAGAATCTTCAATTTTCAAGTATGCATTTTCAATTTCTTTGTACTTTTCTGTAAATACGCAAAAACACACACAGAGTCTTAAAAAAGCAAATTATTACAAGGACTTTAAGATATATTCTTTTCTTTGCTGATCTAACAACTTTTCTAAATGTTCGCACTTTGAAATTGCGCCGTTGAGCTTTTTATTGAGGTCCTTTATAACCAGAACTTTTTGAGTGATTACGAGCTTTACCCTGAAATAATACGATGCACTTAAAGGATATACATTGGTAGTAGCATATTAGTTTTATTCGGTAACGATTCGTATGTTTCAATTGCTAACCTGCTGTACAATTGTGCCATAAATTGATCTGTGTTGACGTTATTCCGAGTTATTTCTTGATAGAGCGAGGCGATCTTGTCTTCCAGCTCCCTTTTCTCTGTCTCGATCTCTTGTCTCGCTATTTCTTTCGCGTTGTCCCTCTCTACGGTCAACTTTGCGATTGTCTGTAAATAGAGCAGTCGTCAAATTGTAATTCCTCTTAACGAAACTAGAGATCACATCGAATCGATTGATCGTGCTCACAGAATTTACCTGATCCATGTCACGTAGATTCGACGTACATTCTTTAAATTTATTTTCCGTCTTTTCAAGCTGTATTTCTGTGGATGCAAATCTCTCCTCCAATAACAATAATTTGTTTTTATAAACGTTCTCACTTTTAATCGCAGCTTGCAGTCTTGCGTCGTATTCTTCTTTCATTAGCCTGAAAGGAATTCCCGTGTGTAGTCGCTATTGCTATAGTAATTTCAACGTTTCTGAAGTCAAACAAATGCATCGTTCGGCTTAGAGTGTCGTCTCATGGCACGCATTTCTCTCGTAACGCGTATTGCGTAATCAATCAGAAGCGTTACGTGTTTCCGCGGAATTTAATTTCCATATGTCCCATGGAAAAGGATCGGTGGCGTATACGATAAATCATATCTTTCTATTCTTTTAGAATGTTCCAATAGAAATACAAATGTAGTAAATCAATGGTTACGCAAATTTGAGACTGCAGTCTCAGCAAAAATGAATTTCTATCAGTTGTTACATATTTTTGCTTTTCACAGGGAAATTTCAGTAAAAACACGATCGCACAGCGGCAGATATTAAATTAAAAAAAAGCTAATGGCTTTCTTTTATTTATTAATGTGTATAAATGAACAAAATAAAATAGTGCATAAACAAAAATACTAGATTCTTTCATCCAATTTTTTCAACTGATAAGTTCCATAATAATTATTTATAATTTATTAAATTGATAAATATTTTTCATTATCATAAATTTTTAAAATTGTATCAAAATCGACTTCGTAACAACATTGTCATTAAAATTTACTATACTTAAATTAATAGTCTATTCATTGAAATAGTAAAATATTATACACATACACATACACACAAACATATATATATATATATATTACATAAGTATGCTTTACATGATACGCGTTACGCGAAAAATCTGTGCCATGGGCGGCGTCCTTACTCAAATTTATCATCGAAATTTTGCTGCAACTTCGCTCGCATATCGCGAGATTCTTTCTCCAGTCTGGATATAGCGATTTCTATCTGCTTGTCCCTCTCCCTCTGACAATCATTACGAATCTTAGCTTCCGCTCTCGTGAAACTCGCGTTTTGTTGCTTCTTGTAATCATCCGCCCAGACGAGCCACTCTTTTCTCAAGGATTCTTCGAAATTTTTCTTCGCACTCTCGTGTTGCTCCCGCAGCGCTTCCGCTTCTTTCTGCAGAGATAACCTTTGCGTTTGGCGCGCAACATATTTTTACTTCATTTTTCTCTCACTCTTCCTAAAACATACCTGAAAGTGCGACTGCGCCTGTTGCATCATCGCGCTTGTTTCCTGGTCGCGTTTCTTTTGCTCCGCCAGCAGATTCGATCTGTCCCTCTCGAAACGCTCCGCGAGTGTGCTCTGCATCGTCTGGAAGTGCGTCTCTTGCTTCTCCAATTTCTCCTCGTATCTGACCAAACGTAGTTTCATTATGCTTCTCGTGCACTCTCGTGGAGAAAATAACGCTACGGATTACGCGTGATAACACACGATCCTTGCCACGCACCGTGCCGTCAGTACGTCCTTTTCCTTGGTCAACAGCTTCTCGTGGCTGTCTGTCAATTCGATTCTCAGTTGCTCCAATTGCTGATTCGATCGACGCAACGCCCGCAATTCTACGTCCTGTAACTCCTTTATGTGCGCGCGTCTCAGCTCCTGTATCTCCCCTTGATGTTGCTCCATCATGTTGTGCAATTCCGGCTCCAGCCCCTTCACCGTCATCTCCTGCGAGATGTTCGATCAACCCTGCGTGATCTTGAATTATTTATCGCACCGCGCGCAGTCACATCATGCGTGGCTTCCCGTTTCGAGAAAAAAATTCCCGAAACGCATTGCTTCCCCCTTCCCTTCCAGATAAAACAGAAATTAACAACGACGTCGAAATGATAGGAAAAGTGAAAAATAAGTAAAAAAAAATGAAGAATAATGAATAAAATATGAAGATCGAAATGTGAGTTTTTACAGTCATTTTCTCATCATTTTGACGTTATTTTGACGTCATCATGATTTTCTACCTGGGGAGCTATCAGCGCTAAAGCGTCATTCCATCTTTATCGATTATTAGATATAAACAAGGATAGAATAACGCTTTAGCTTTGATAATGCGTTCATCGAACGCATCTTTAATCTGAACGGTTGTGTATTGTACAGTAACGGAAAAAATAAAGGTATTAGATCGAAAATAAAATAATAATTTTGGAATAGAGCAAACAAACGAATGTTTCAATAAATGTTTGATTCAATAAATAGAGTTGTTTGGCAATATCTTCATGTCAAATAGTATTTTCTTTTGTATATTCACCTAAACATTACAATAAAATATTATTGTCACTCTAACAGAAACAGATCTTAACTCTAACAGGTAAGTATCACTGATTATGGTAAATTAGCCAGTGATAAATTACCGTTGTTCAATAGCTTATTATTCATACGACTAATAAAACTATAAAGTAACAACAATTTATTACTGGCCAATTTATAAGCCAGTAATACTTTTCTATAAGGACAAACAATAAATTATTTGAAAGATTTGAATGATTTGAATGTTAGAAAAATGTGTTGGAACAATATTAAAGAACTTATTTTTATTTCAATGGAACAATATTTAATATATAACGAAATAAATTTTTTTATTGAAAACGAAATTATTTTCTCTAAATAATACTGTTTCTTCTATCACACGACAACGGTTTGCTCTAATGAAATTATGTTCTTTATATCAAATAAACCTAAGTCAAACAGACACGTATATTAAATCCAAAGAAACTTCTTTTTTTTTGTGTACTCGGAGCGTCGCGCATAAACCGGCCGGGGATCAAATGATCACCTTGATTTTCGAGGTCTTCATTTCCAGCCATCGTTCGCGCCGTATCTTCTCCGACGCCGCGGCATTCTCCTTCACGCGTTGCAGTTCCACTGTGTGCCTCTCGTTAATTACTTTCACATCCCGTTGGATCTTCCGCTCTGTCTCCTTTATCTGTCGCACTAGCGAGTCGCATTTCTGCGTGAGATCCGTTTTCTCAGCGATCAGCTGCTCGATGAACTTCTGATGGCGCTTCACAATCGTCCTGTACTTGTTCTCCAGTTCTTTCGCCTTCGTGGCATGGCATCGCCTCTGCGTCGTCATCTTGTCGCACGCCGCCTTACGCTCAGACTTCAGTTGGTCCTTCAGACATTCGATCGTCGCATTCTTCTCCTCTATCTGCAATCTCGCAGTCTCCAGATCGTCCTGTTGGCAGCTGGAAATCGGCTGCTCTCCCGTCTCGTATCTGCCGAATGTGCAATATATTTCTTTGTACACAGGAAAAAGTGCTAGATTCAAGTAAATCATTACTTCAATACTCTTTAGGTGCCATTCAACAATTAAGTCACGCTAAATTTTAATATTTTTACCCCCATTTTTCTTCTGTGTGTATAAAATTTTCTTCCATCTTTGGATTGTTGTATTTCGCGACATTCCGTCGAGTGAATCAATCAATATGAAATGTTCTCACCTGCTAAGTCCTCGACAGAATGGAATTATAGTTGTCGCGTCGTTGGCAATAATATTATTCTCTCGTGTATCATCTGAAGCAACAAAAATTGCGACATTGCGGAAAAATCGTTCGTTCTAAAAAAAGAATCGAAAGCAGTTGAAATATAATTAGTGACATTGGTCGCTGTTGAATATTAATACCATTTTCGAAGCTTCCTAAGAAGGACATTATGTCCTCATAGGTCGACGCGAGTGACGTGCATTTTTCACCAGTCGCATCTCTCTCCGGCTCGATCTGCGCTTAATCGTGATCGTTTTGTAACAATTGTGATTATTGTATATAATTACTATATTATTACAATATAAACGAAAACGGAAATCAGAAATTTGGATGAGGAAATATATGTGTGTGTATGTGTGTGCACACGGAAATTAGTTTAAAAATAAGATATAAGATAAGGCATATGGAAAGAGAGAGAGAGAGAGAGAGAGAATAAGGATGATACTGACAATTTAAATAATATTTCGATAAATCTATTTTTGGATTTTTACGAATCGATAGATATCGACGAGTAAAAACTTCGGTCGCTTACTTGTTCCGTGTAATTGCGCAACGCTGGCTCCAGCACGGCGTCGTATTTAATGCACATGTCAATTTGTTTGCATTCTGCAATTTCGATATTGTTATCTTTTTCTAATTGGTTTATCATGTCGCACAATTGTTCAAACGAGCCGGGCGATTCGATTAGATTCTGGTTGAAATCGCGCTTTTCCTCACATAAACTCTTAGTCTCCATATCTTTATTTATTTATTTATTGCTTTTATATTTAATTTATTATATTTAATATATTTGTTTATATATGAGAGACTTTTTCGATTCGCTAGACACCTACTCGCGTTGCTAAAGAATCGTTGCCTGAACTGACCGGCAAACTTACGCGCCGTGCGTTACGTTTTTATTTACGCGTTGACCGACGATTGCCATGGCGATGCCCGTGCTACAAACAAGAGGGTACTTCTCCCTTAGCCAGGTCAACATTTTAGAGAGAACGTATGGTCAGTCATAAAAAAGTTACAATACTTTTTTCCAACAAGTTTCGTAATACATATTGTATTTAATACAGAAATGTATTTCCTTTCGAAGAATAATTAGAAACCTTCTATTGGACACGGAATGTGCCCCAAAACTTATAAAAAAACAGTATTGCAACTTTTTTTGAGACTATACATTCCTACATAGCCCAATTTATCCGAGGACGTCCTGATCTCCACAGACACATCTGAAAGACGTCTGAAGGACGTCCTACGTTTGCAGGATATCCACTGATAAAGTATGTTGGATTTGGAATATGTGATATTCGATTGTCATAATATTTCATTTGCGTTGTAAATTTTGAGTTATTTCAGATTCAATTACCTTACAATATTCCACTTGCGTCTAAGTTTTCTTTTTAATTCAATAAGTAAGATATGTAAAAATTATGTAACTTGCGTAACTTCAGGTATGTGCGATAAATGAGTATTCTAAGTAATTAATGCGGGCAAGTAATGGGATTAATGATTGAATAAAACAACAAACATTCTGCTTCTCACTATCTGTTTTTTATTATTTTTTATTGATAGTGAAAATTTCAATAGAATTTGACGATCCAGAGAGAGAGCGAGATGGAAGAAGCTGTAAATATTAAATTATTACAAAAGTTCTGTCAGTTTTTTAATCACAAATTAGAGACCAAAGACCACCAAAGACTAGTAGAAAATCAGCTGCAAAGAAACACATACAAAAAACTGGCAAAACTTTTGTAACAACTTAATAGCTTCGAACAATGCTCCGAGAACATTGATTGTATTGTGTGGCCACCGAGTTATGTTTACATCATTGACACACGTCCTCTGCATATCTCTTAGCAATAGAGAAAAAAATGATGAAGAGGATGATAAACGATAAAGGACAACTTGCGAAGTATTGACGAGTTTATTATCACGGGACATTCTTCAAGTCCCTCTCGCGTGAAACCTGATAATTCGACCACGTCGAAGTCACTCATTGTCCACCACACAATCTCTTTAATCTCAGCCCTTGGTCAGGAAAAATCCTACGCGGGAAAGACCTTTCTCCATCAGGACCTCGTCGATTTTACCATCGTATCGCTTTACCCTCGGGATGGTCCTCGGGATTTCGTGGAGTCTGACGAGCGATCCTCGCTGCACCCTCGGCGGACGGCACGAGGGTGGCTTTCCCCACGTAGTCGCGATTGTTGGCTGTCGGTGGCGCTCGCGGGGCGAGGTTTCCTAGGGGTTTCCGTGCGACGGGGGGTGGCGAGGAGGGAGGGAGGGAGGGCGTACGTGCAGCGGCCCTTCCGACCCCTCGCGGCGTACGGTGGTACGTACCGTAGGAGAATCGATCTAAAACTAGGAGTCGCCGCAGTAACCGCTGGGAGGAAGCCAGTGTTACAATTCGGGGCCCCCGTATGCGCCAGTGAAATCTTAGACGCCGGTTAATCGTACGTACGCACGGTGGTCGTCGGGTCGCCGCCGCCAGGTACGTCCACGTCGACGGACGTACGTACGTCGCAACCCCTGCGCTCCTCTGTTCTTCCTTTCTCTCTCTCTCTCTCACTCTCTTTATTTCTCTCTCTCTCTCTCTCTCTCTCTCTCTCCCTCTCTCTCTCTCTTTTTGTCTATCTCTCTCTTTCTTTATCTCTCTTTCTCTCTCTTTCTCTCTCTTTCTCTCTCTCTTTCTCTCTCTCTCTCTATCTATCTGTCCTGGGGGCACGGCACATACACGGGTGGCCGGCCGGGGGTGGCCGTGCTTTAATCGCGGAATATAACGGCGGGTGTGCGCTCCTCGCTCTCGCGTGCGTGGGTGCGAGCGAGCGAGACGGAGCGAGGCGCGGCGCCGCGGCTGCGACGGAGACGGCGACAGCGTCTCGGCGAGCCGCGCGTGAGGAAAGGAAGACAGCCGTTATCAGCCAGTAGATCCAACCAGCCAGTCAGCCAAGCAGCCAGCCAATACGGACGATCTGTCATCCGGCTAGTAGTGAATCCAGCCAGCCAGCCAGCCAGCTAGGCCAAGTGTCGCAGCGCGTTTCGCTCTCGCGCTCGAGAGACCGAAGGAGAAAGAGAGGGCAGGGACGAGGCAAGAGAGCGAGGGAGACAGAGAGACACCTTGCGAGGGTGTACGCGCGAGAGCAGGCTGGGCGGACAGCGCGACCGGAGAGCATCCGCGTTATAATGCGACGTGCACCCTTCTTCCTCACCTTAGTGGTTCCTTCGGAATAAAGCCGCGTGCTTGCTGGGACGGTTCCTTACCTGCAGGGCTATGACGTAATGGCAAGAGAGGTACGCATATCCTTCCGTGCTCCTTTTCCTTCGCCGCACGCATGCAGCATCCACACCCGCGAGGCACATCATCGCGGGGATTCTTCGTTTCTCGTATTTCTCCTTGTCGGTCTGTCGTCTGTGTGCCTACCTGGCTTTCTATCTGCCTGTTTGCTTGCTTGCCTGCCTGCCTGCCTGCTTACTCGTCTGTCTGTCTGTCTGTCTGATTATCTATTTATCTGTCTGTCTTCCCCCTATCTATCTATCGCTCGTCTTCGCCGCGAACGAGGGATATCGTCGTCGTGGAAGTTCTCCTCTCCGCGGAGGACGCCTCTCGGTGACCTATTTTCACGTGACCTCGTGACACCCGACGGTCCTCGGCTTGCACCCCCAGAGTGCATCACCCTCTCGGCAAGGCCGAACGACCGAAGGGACGAGCCCTTCGGCCCGCTTTCCTCCTCGATGTGCGCGTTTCTCCACGAGAAGGTGTTAGTGTTCCAGTTTTTCGTCCGTAGATCCTTCGGCTTCGTTTTACTCCTCGGGAATGTGTGTGCCTCGGTGGTTCTCCTTCTCGGGGAGCTATCTTACGAAATTCTGCTGCGAGGATATTCTTCGGGAATTACTCTCGTCGGAATTCCTGAGGTTTCGCGCTCGCTGCGGCTCGGTCCGCTCCGTTGGGTTATTTCGCGCGTGTGTGCCCAGGAAACGTTCTTTCGAGAGCTCTGGCGGATCGCCGCGAGACCCTACCCCAAGGATATTCCCCGGCAATTACGAGGGCCGGGATAATTTTCTGAGATTTTTCACCCTGTCGCACGGCGCGCCGCGTCCCAGCAGCGTCCATTGTGACGGGTACGCTTTTTCTTCATTTGTAATATGGAAGCATATAGTTGTAGAGACACTCGACGCTGTTGTCCTAGTTTGTGGACATGTTCTGAGTTATGATTCCAGTTGTTTATCACCATCCATAGCTTCTAAGGGGAATAATAAATAGAAGTATACACGCTCGAGGGGACGTATTTGAATGTATTTCTCGATAAATAAGAAGCCAAGAAAGAGGTCCGGGTCTTTAACCGACAAGGCGGTGGCACGAGTTCAGAGGAGATATTAAAGGTCTCAAGGATCTTAAGGATTCACGAAGTGTCTCTTTTTTTTTTTCATTTTGCTTCAATCATAATTATTTTCCTTCGGGATCCTCCCATGCCTCGAGATAACACGTTGTATTAATTCTTCGAGTATCTTTCTTTCTAGTGATATTTTTTTACGTGACGATGGTTGATTGTTTACATAGTGTTGATTTTGAAATTTGTACATGTATATCTTTAAATTGGAATTTGTTTATCATTTTCATCACTACTTCGTTAGCAGTAATGAAAATTAGTTGAAAATCAGTTGCTCACACGTTTCATTTCGCGCTTCCCGAGCCACCAGAATGCTTCTCGTCCTTTCAAGCGTTTGTCACGAATGTTTTCTCCATTGACAGAATCTTTCGCCTCGGATGTTAGTAAAATCCTTCTTGTTATTCTATTCGCACGTAAAACCCTCCTCGATGCTTTTCCCGCTTGCGAAGTCCATTTCGTCACTTTGTTCCCTCGTAGATGCCCCTTCGTTGTCTTGCAGCGGAGCTCACGGAGTCCTTATGTGCGTTTTGTCTACTAGCAGAAACCTTTTTCACGCTTTCCCCGCTCATAGACTCGTCCTTATTGCCTCTCGCCTTCTTATAATCCTCCCCACTGGCTCGCGCTCGCGCTCGTAGATTCTACTTCACCGATTTGCAAGGATCCTGATATCGCCTGCAGTCACTGACGGTGGAATCTCACGGGGAAGGGAAGCCTGTAGGAACACAAAAGTTGAAATTCAATGCGAAAATCCTTTGCAAAATTTCGTCCTCTCGCAGCGTGTTTACGTTAAAAATTATACGTGGCGGAGACGCGAGAATGTTACTCTTTCGCTGGAATGCTTTTCCCGTTCATAGAACGCTCTTTACTTCATTGTATGCACCTCGTTGCTACTTTGCATGCTCGCAAAATTCTTCTCGTTGTTCCGTACGCTCACAGACTCCATGCAAAATCTTTATCATCGTTTGTCACGTTTCGCAGGATTCCCGCACCCTTTCGCTACATCCTAAAGGCTCTTTTCGCTAGCTTTTGCAGTTTTGCGCGCGCGCGCGCGCGTGCGTGTGTGTGTTACATTTTTTAGAATATTAGAAAAAGAACCTCTTTTTTTTAATTTTTGCCCCATTTGTGTTTTGTGAAATAAAGAAATGGCGATAGGATGAATAAATAAATGAAAAACGTACAGTACGTAACAAATATCTCTCTCTCTCTCTCTCTCTCTCTCTCCTCTCTTGGTTGAAATGATTTTAAGTAAATTAAGAAAGGAGTTTCTTGGATCTCTGAGAAGGTAAATCCTAGCACATTCCTTGTTAAAGGATGCACCTGAGTTCTCGCGGATTCCAGAGAGAGAAAGGCATTCTTGTGCATTATCCGCGTGCGCGCGCGTTCATATGTGTGTTCATAATTTTTTCATACAAGCAGACCAAGAAGAGAACATCTGTGAGCAGGGAATCGAATTTTTTAAATTTCCTCGTAAAACGCATTCAACGCAGACGTGCGTCGAAGAATGTGTCGATCGAACGCATTGTTGTCGCGAGTATTTGCCCGGGCGTTGCTCTCGCCCTTTAAGGTAATCGCAACAATTCCGCTATTTCAGCATAAAGTCGGCATCGGAGGGGGGTTGGAGTAAATCAAAAATTTGCGAAAGTGGTTGGCGGCGTTTCTCGACGATACTTCGTTAAGGAATGCACCTGGGTATATCTACGTTACACAGGCCGCTGCAGCTGCAGGCTGTTCCCTATTTGCTCGTTAGCACGTTGCTATGTTGTTTACTAAGTTCCATCCGCAAGCGAGTTCGCGAGTGCATCGGAGCTTGCGGGGGGTTAGGGTGAGCGAGGAATGGGAGAAAGGGGGAGAAAGGCCGATCGTCGTATTACTCAGACAAATATTCAATTTATTTCGAGGGCCACGAGTCTTAAATCTCGGAATTCCTAAATCCTCGGAGATGTCGAGCGCTTTGATCCTATGATCCTGAATTCTCAGCTTGCTTCCCATCCGCGTATCCTCTTTTGCATTTTTCCCCGGTATCGCGTCTCGGATTATCGCGCTGTTATGGCACGTAGCGGCTTGTCGAAAGGATTTCTTCGATCCTCGCGCGTTAATTGAACGTAGGGATAGGTTTTCAGAATGTTTCTTTGCGGCTCGTCGTATGTATGTCGCGCGCGGTCGCGTGAGAGAAAGGCTCGGGGAGGCTCTAGAATACGCATGTGTTAAATTTAAATTCCAATTATCGGATAAAAACAGAAATATGCGAAATAACGGGGCAGGGGGGGGGGGATGAGTGAGGGGCGAATAAGTAGACAAATAAAATTCCCTTTTGCACGCATTCGTTTAAATCAAGCGCTCGTATCTCATCGCGGCGGTGGCAACGCGTGATAACAACGCAAAATACTTAACAGATATAATAATGATGATGATGCATTAACGGGGACTGGGATGAATTTACCGGCAAAATCGACGCGTGGCACAGAATAAATAAGCGAAATTACAAGTTAAGACCGGTTGAATCAGGTCAGTGCTTTTGAGCATGAACTGCGCACGCTCCCGCACTGCACCCTTAGCGCCACCCCGCTGAAGACTAGGGACAACCTCAAACATAATACACCCCTTCGGCTCACATTATTCCGAGATCGCCAGCGACGTCGGGATGCAATCTCGCCGATCGAAGAGTGCAGGTGCACCCACAGTGCGGAGTACGATAAAGTGCTGCGAACTCGGTAGATATCCGCGGATAAATCGTACGCAGTAAATTCACCCCTCGACCGGGGCAAATTAATGCGATAATTATTCACCGATAAACCCGCCGGATTAGCCGCCGAATAGAGAGAGAAAGAGAGAGACAGAAAGAGAGAGAGAGAGAGAGAGAGAGTCAGTGGAAAGAATTCACGCGAGCCGTAGCAGTAAGTGCTCCTTTCGTTTGCGTATACGTTTTAATACGGATATCGTTCGTACCCAATCGTTCGTATGCAATATGAAATGAATAACGTCTTTAAATTCCTCCGGGTGTATCTAAATGTAACGCGAAAGCGAAGAAATGTGTTGTGAGTTCGAGGTCTATGCTCGTGAAATATTCGCTCGGATATACTCGTACAATAAAATTTTTAGACCTCCCCCCCCTCCCCCCTGGAGATCCGAGAGGAGAGAGATCGCTAGATTCTTATGCACGTGGAATTTAGGACGAAAGTAGATCTAAAACTACCGAGCCTCCGAGCCTTCCGGAATGCAATAGTTGCATTGTAAAAGATAATTCTCTGTTCAACCAATTCGTATGTCAGTATGTAGATTCTGAGTTTTTTCCTTTCCTTTTATATATATTAAATTTTCTCTCTCTCTCTCTCTCTCTCTCGCTTCAATTAAATTTTCTCTCTCTCTCTCTCTCTCTCTCTCTCTTTCTCGCTACGTGTTATAGTATCGTGTGGTAGTGGACTCAGGACAATTCCTTTTTGGCCCTATACGTTCTGCATGTAACGTATCCACACGTATCTTTACGCTTCTCCCCCCCCCCCTCTTTTTCTCTTGAAAGCAGCGGGCTCGTGCGAATTTTTCGTTCAAATGTTACTCTGTCCCGCAACGACGCTATTCTTCGATGGCGAAAACGGAAGAGACACGTCCGTTTCGCGTAACGAAAAATGTTCGAAAGTTTCGCACGCAAGACTCTTTATTCCGTCAGCGGCGTTTACAACATGGTTGTCGTGTATGAGGCTTGCCGGGAAATTATTTACTCCATTTAACATCTGGGCGACGAGCGTTCGCCTGGGTCACCTCTTCAAGCTCCCGTGCTTTTCTTGCAGCGAATTATTTTTAAGTTATGTGTGAGTCGTTACTTATTTGCCAGGTTCCTCTGTTTGTGGCTGCGCTGCGCGCGTGGTAAAACCAGTCGGTGATCGATCGTTCGCGCATACGCGAGCTCATAGGGGAACCACATAGATTTGGAAATTCGCCCGAGATCGCGCGATCCTGCCGCGATAAATGGCGAGTCGCCTACCACAAACAGCGTTGAATCTGCTATCTTACCCTTTCTTCAATGTTCAATATCTTTATTTTTACAAAGGGCTTTTTAAATTGCGTGTAAGCTTGCACGAGCTTCCGGAGAACATTTAAGGTCAATAGTCAATCGCAAATGTCAACCATTTTTAACCTTAGCCGTTCATTGTGTCGCAGCGTATATGCCATAGCATTGTTTCACCATACTAAAATTGATCGAGATTGCCAGTCATGCCCTTTCTGCTATGGAAATTTTGTTTCGATCCTCTTAATCATTTTTCTACCTGATTTCTGAATTATGCCTAGCCTTCCATGTGAATTCTCGTTCTCGTTCTCCCTCGATAGAAAAAGGAAATGTCGTTTCTTTGTCATGTCTATCGTTTGTGTGTTATCGATGTGTGTGTATGTGTGTGTGTGTGTGTGTGTATGTTTGTTGTTATGCACGAAGCAATATATTAGGGCTTATTGAGAAGAACACGTCGATTATATCACGTAATTTTTGCGCAGGAGTTACGGACCAAGAGACCTTTTAAGATATGGGACAGCTGGCGTAACGTAAGAAAGGGATTGGTCGTTAGCAATTTCGAAGAGTTGATTGTCCGGGGTAAGAAACACGTAGATCTAATGAATTAAACCGTTAAATTCGAACACTGAGCCGCGACGATTCGACATCGTCGGAGCGCGCTCTCGGCTTTGTCCGGAGGCATGCTTCTCCGATCAGACCGCGACAGTCAGAAGGAATACTTCCGCAAAAGGTACGATTCTTTTTTATCCATCCGTGCATTATCCGTTTCCTAATTGCGCGGAGATTAACGATAACACACCGTGTAACGTCCGCCTCTCCTCTCTTCACGACACCCGACTCGTATGAGTTTATCGGTCCCGATGGTATCCTTCTTCTCACATGGAACAATCCCCCTCGTCCCCCTCTCAAACACACAGAGAAGAAAAATCGAATTCGGAGATCTCGCGTTAAAGCGCGGGGAGCCAGAAATCAGATGCGACAGATCAGTTGTTCGCGGAGAAAACGGGATGGAAAAAAAATTGAAAGAAGGGAAAAAAGGGGAACGAAGGAAGAAGAAAAAGAGAGAGGAAAAAAAATCGATGCGCTCTCATCGTCGCGCGAGACGCGCGCTGGATAACTTGTGCGAAGCGTCACGCGTGCTTCCGGAGCACTCTTTCTCCCTGTCCGGTCGGCGGGGAAATATTTCCGACCGGAAATATTTCCCGCGCGCGCGTCGCGTATCGCACGGTATTGCATTATCTGCAAAGTTCCTTTGAAAGTGTCACCCAACATTTCTCACAACATTTCTCCGGAGACAAAGCGCCGTTCGTTCGAGGACACACCACACACCATTATTCGCAACTGCGCCCATTCACGCGATTACACAGGCGACACGTGGCATTCGCGCACACGCGCGCGCGGACACACACCGTGCACGCACACAGGCGCACGTCACCTCACAGACAGGAGCGTCGAAGCGTTATCGCGATACGTCGTCGAACGCACGCGAAAACCTCCCCCCCCCCCCCCNCCCCCTCTCCCAATGTAAGCTTCAACCCTCGCGATTGTTGTTTCTAGGTAAGGAAAAGCTGGGCGTGCCACAAAATGAGAATGTCTCGTTAGTTTTGGAGTCAGACGGCACGCAGGTCGAGGACGGCGAATACTTCAAGACATTAGGCAACAACACGATCCTGCTTCTGCTACGACATGGTGAACGCTGGTGTCCCACTGGCGTCGACATTATACGCGCTGGTACGTGAGCGGGATCAGTCGCACCGATTGATTTTTTAGGGGAAATCGGCAACTTGGTTGAGGTGGCTAAGGTTGAGGCGGCACGGAAACGACAGTTCGAGCGAGAGGGGTGTATATCTAAGGGGTGTATCGATGAGAGACGTGTTACGTGGTCCGTGCTCTCAGTTGAAAGAGATCAGGACGAGAACGTCGGGGTGGGATTTCTTTTCTTGGTGTTTCTTCAACGTCTAGTCCGTAACGAAGCAGAAGAAGTTGAATTCTTACACGGACCTTTGAACGCGATCAACCAAGTAGCTCTCCTTCTATTATCAAGTGTCTGGATGTGTGCTGGATTTTTGAACTCTCGAATATACAGCTTTAGAGTCATACCGCGCTGCTATGTAAAGGGGATATTGCGACGATCAACTTTGGTTGATGGAAATCGGCAACTTGGTTGAGGATACTAACCTCGGGGCAACTAAAATTGATCAAACTGAATTACACGTGGCAACTGAATCCTTACACACACACAAGCCTTTAAACGATCGACCAAGTAGGTTTTCTTCTTCTTCTTCTCTTAAATCATTTCGATGTCTTGGACTCTCTTTCGATTCTCTTCTTACCCCCCCCCCCCCCCAACNACCCTTTGGATCCGTAAACTTTCTACTATGGCTCCCTCCAAAGATCTATGAATCTCGCACTCTCTCTCTCTCTATCTATCTATCTATCTTTCTCTCTCTCTATCTCGCGGTGGATTACCGGCACTGATTTGTCACGTCTTGCAGCACCGAACACCACCACCCGTAAATCAATCCCCCGTCTCCTCCGTCGCGCTGCGAGCCCCGATTATCGGCCGTTAACTCCCGTCTTCTCTTCTCTTTGTATTCCCAGCAATTTCGGCGATCCCGAAAATAGTCTGCGAGACGATCCACGCGCTGGAGCTACACGATGAGACGCCATCGTGGAAAATTATGGACAATAAAGGTCGAGTCACAGTGGTGCTGCATTGGGACCAGCGCTCAACGGCGTCGTCGCAGGTGCAGCAGCAGCAATCGAAGCCGGGTCAGGACGCCCAGGCCTCCAAGTACTCCCCGACTAAAAAAGCCGACCTGAGCGGTGCTCAGCGGCCGTCTCTGGTGATCCAGACCAGCCTCGATAAGCTTGGATATGACGGCAAGGGGGCGCACTTGCCGGGCGAGATTGCTCCGACGCGGTACACCAGTCCGCGAATCACTGTGATAAATCATGATGATATGGTATATTCACCTATGCCTCTTACACACGCTCTAATTTTAGATTACGCTCTCTTGTCGATCTCGCATCCATCTGGGAAATTTTACCAGCTGATCGATAGATCAAGCTCGATACGCGATTAATGAAGTTTCCTACACGAATCACCAGAAATTCTCCGGAAAAGACGGCAATTGGAACTCGGTTGTTGCGTCGATCTCTTTGTTTTCGAGCGCGTTGCTTATCGTCACGTTGCGATCGTTCGCTCTGCACGCAGCAATCGCGAGAGCGATCGCTCTCTCGTGCCGTCTTCAACTTTGTGTTTGTCCCAGCAGCAGCAGACAACGCAGCCTCATGCTATGCCGAGCCGCCTGGTGAAGCAGGGCACGAACTCATTCGACAGTACGACCATTCACATTCACACGCCGGAGTGCTCCAATCATATCCACCAGCCGGTCGCGCGGAACGGCAGCCCGGTGAACGGCGCGGACGGCGGTGCCGTTGGCGAGTGCGACTTCCATTGCTGCGCTCTGCACGAGGAGGGCCGTCGGATCGCCGTGCACAAGTCGGTGGCGACGTCGCCGATTCAGGACGCCCAGCATCAACAGTATCAGCACCCCCATCATCACCAGCAGCAGCAACAAACGCAAACGCAAACACCATCGCCGCAGCCACCGTCCTCTTTGTCGGACGGTACCAAGCGACCTGGCCTGAGCAAAGGTCACGTGCGCTTCCGTGACACCACCGACGAGGAGTCGAGCTCGCGTCTCGCCGGCACCAGCTTTCACTTACATCACCATCATCACAACCATCATCAAGAGCACGACAGCTCCGAGTCCGAGACGGAGAACACGATAATGGAGGATGAGATCGTGACCTCGGAGAAATTTCTGCTGCTGATCGACCAGCTCACGGTCGATCAGAAGCATCATCTCAGCATCAAAGACATCGGCATCATTCTGGAGCGACTCAGCTCCAAGATCCTCGACGTCGAGCGGCTGGATCGCGAGAGCGAGAGCGAGGAGTGCTACAATTGGACGATAAAGGCTATCATCAGGGGCGATGTTCTGCGGGAGCTCGGGGTTATCTATAACGGGAATTACTACGCAATCTCCGAGCATCCCGGCTACAAGGAAGAATCGGAAGAGAATAATGAAGATAATGAGGAGGAGGAGGAGGATAGACTTTAATATGATGCTGTTTCATTAGATAGATAGATAGATTATACATCTATTCCTGATTATTATTAACTTAGGAAGCGCTGTAACGAAATAAGAACGGGGGAACACCGCGTGGTCTCCCTTGGGTCCGAGGATTTTTCGATTCTCAAGTCTCCGCGATTCGAAGCTCCGCAGTATTCTCCTAGGATCTGTCCGTGGCCCTCTAGGATCCTCGAGAATTAGGATTCCTCTCGGGATTTTCCCGAGGGACTCTCTAGGATTCTCTTAGAATTCTGTATATTCAACGTAGAATCAGGATAAACGGTATCGAGATAACGAACGATTTATCTAAGCTCGCCTAAAATTTGATAAAATTAGGAATTTCTCCGAGGTCTTCTAGGACTTTCCAGAACATGCACACACACTCCTAGAATTTTTTAAGACTTCAGGATCCCTTCCTTAGGATTCCATAGGACTTTAGGAATTTCTGATGTTACGATCCTGTAGAATCTTAGGATTTCCTGTAGTGATATATCCTGTGAATTTAATATATATTAATTAATCTCTTACAATTTTCTAGGAGTTTTTAAAAATTCTCCCGATCCTAGGATTATCCGGAACACTTCTACCTTTAATTTAGGGTGTCTCAGTATTTTTCTAGAATTTTTTGGCTCCAGGATTCCCGGAGGAAATTTTTAAGTCTTACTATTTTAGGCTTCGCTCTTTAAATTTTAGGCGTCACTGTTCTCGAATTTCTCCTAGCTTATTCGAATTTTTGGATCCTGGAACCCTGAAATCTCAGACAGCTCAGATTGAAAATGTCACAAGATATTTTAGAGATTCCAGACATCCTATTATCCTAGCCTAGGTGCCTTAGATTCCAGGTACCTTAGATCCCACACGCATCCAAATCCTATTTCACTTTAGATCCTAGGTGCCTTAGATCTTAGACACTAAATTCTAAGTCTTCTAGATCCCGAATACTTTTCGCGTACTCAAGGTTCTCGATACGGATCCTAAGTTTCACAAATCCTGGTGTGTTTTCAATTTTTCTTTACGGGCCCGTATGCTAAGTCGTTCCTCGGTTCTCTCCCGTTATCGGAAGCTCACGATGATCCGCAATGGGAATTATAACGTGATCCGGGAGCATCCTGACTACAAGGAGAAGTCCGAGGAGAATAAAAGGATAACGTTAAGGAGGAAAAGAGGATAGACTTTATAACATGATGTTCTTGTATTAGATAGATAGGTAGATAGATTATAATTGAAGGATTCAATGCAACTGCGGTTTAGTTCACTTTCTTAAAACCTTGAGAGCATAAATCCTAGAGCGTTTGTGTGTGAGAATATTAAATTTAGACTAATTTTCTCAAGTTCTTACAAAAGTGGGCACCGTTGCGTCGAATCTCTTCATTTATCCGTCACTCGTGACTTTACATACGGGTCTACGATCGGTCCAAAGATCCTCGGCTTCTTTGGATCACGAAATCCTCGGATCGAAGATGAGATCTACGGATGCGAAAGGTGAGCGACACGCGTGAATTGCCCGAGTAGAAATTTTGATACTATATTATCCCGTAAATATTATCGAGTTTAAAGGACCAATGGAGAATCTCGAGATATAACACTATACGAGTTATTATCTTTTGATGTTACTCAGATAGCACAAAATATTCTATGAATATTGTAATGAAATATGAATGTTTTTAATTTCAGAATATTCGAATCAAATATTCTATGAATATACGTAGAATATTGTAAGTAAAGTTTCGTATATTCATAATAGAGAAGAATGTTTTTACATTGAGAAAAAAGGCTTAAAAATTTATTTGTGAAGTATAAGGTTTATTTCACAGAAATAAACGTTTATCTAAATATATTTAATTTAAATTTTTTTCTTAATAAATAAAATTATTAATAAAAAGAAAACTTATTTTTTTCCTCAGTGCATTAAAAATTTATTTGTGAGATATAAGGTTTATTTATAATAAATAAACTAATTAATAAAAAGAAAACTTAGGTATATTTCACAAAAATACATATTCCGTCATCATATTTTTATATAATTACTTAATATTCTTTCACTTGTCAAAATAGTTCATTTTGAGTCTAACATTATCTATGTTGAATATTAAGATAAAATACACCTATATACTAAATTAGATACACCTATATAGTATCATATCTCGTGACTTTTCATTGGTTCTTAAGTCCAATGATATTTGCAAGATTAACATAGAAACAAAATTTAGATTCGGATATATTCCGCGTCGCGGAGAGAAACCTAATTCGTAAGGTTGAAAGGCAACTGAGGGTAGACAAAGGCGTCGTTTCTCCCGCGAATGTGTTTCGTAATAAAAGAAAAAAAGGGGAAAATGACAAGAGAGCAAAGTGGAGGATAAGAAATTGCGTATTTGATTCACGTAACACGATACCATTTTATTAAAATCTAGTTCTAAAAACGGTTGTTGACATATGTACTTATTAAAACTAGCATGTATACTTGTAGGAAAGATTTTTGGGATTACGGATATCGATTCCGTAACCGTCCACAACACTGCCCACACTAATGAAAAGAGAGAGAGAGAGGGGGCGGAGAGAGAGGAGAGGGGGAAAAAGCGAGAGAAAGAGGGAGAGCGGGAGAGGGGAGAGGGAGAGTGAGGGGGCAGATAGAGAGAGGTGGGATGGGGAAAGAGAGAGAGAGAGAGAGAGAGGGAGAGGTTGAAAGAGAGGGAGAGGGATAGAGTGAGAGAGAGAGGGGGGGAGAGGGGGAGGGGGCGCGAGAGCGGAAAGAAAAGTAGAGTGTCGATATATTATATAAAACGATTCGACTCGACGCGTCACGAAAATCGCGCGAACGGTGCACGATCGATCGTTGACGTCGGGAACGATCGGTGATCTCGGACAGCAAATGAATAAGCACGGCAAGCACGTGTAATTCATAGATCACCATAGAACGTTCTTAAACGATATTAGATACGAATAAACGTTAATCGCATGGTTGCCTTTAACTCATCGAATATCGCGGACGATCCACGAACCAGAAGGATCGCCATCAAAGTTGACGAGAAAGAGATGCGAAAACGATTGGGGGTGGGGGATGGGAGTCACTTATTTCTCGCCGACGTAAATTCTTCGTAGACTCGTGAAACAAACGTTCTCGTAGCCTAAGATCCTTGGATCCATGGATTCTCCGATCTTCGATTACATGGATACTAGGTTCCTTGGAGCCCACCTTTGCGAATCATTTCTTTGCTTTCGACGATTGCCCTACTAGATTGGCGAGTTTCCAATTCCCGAAGTCTCGAGTCGCGCACAGGGAGTACTCGCGCAAAAAAATTGCACAAATCTTCACATAAATTTTTTTGTACGCCATCTTTGGGTTCCATATCTCTTGCATGAACTATCAATTCTGCTCTTTCTCAATCTTAAATTTCTCGTCCTCCGATGCTGCTGTTGCTATCCCGTTGATTTTCATCGAACCTAGTAGCCATCTCCCTCATTTTGGCTCATCGCACCTGCGATATCTCGAAATGGATCCGCGGATAAAAATCCCGTGCAATTCGAAGCAAGGCGGACACACGGACAGCGCAGCCTGAATCTTTCAACCCTCCTCTTTTTAGGGCACAAAATTAACGCGTAATTGCTCTACTGATGCTTGACTGTTTAGGAAACATATCACGAGGCGATACAATTTCAACAATAAGGGACACTTGAATCTCGGTTCATCTTAAATTTACGGCAGAAACGTCGCCGAGAGATATATCGTTATTGTCCGCTTCTTATAAGCTCCGTACAAAATGCTTAATTCTTTTAAGTAGTACCGTGCTCAAACATTCGTTAATCTACTTTTTTTCTATGCCCATTAAATATATGGAGAGAGAAAAATTGCACAAGTCGGTGATTTTATTCTTAGGGGGATGGAAGTTTCGAGCTCGGTGCTCGCGAAGGAATATACATATACATACATACGCGCGCGTATAGATTACGTGTAACGGTATAAACATAGTCGAATCATTCGGAATTTACGTTAGCGGATGTATCACACGATTATAAAAGGATGTATCGATTCGTGTCGTGGGTACTCTGTATGTGAAACTCCGCGATTTTAATATATTTCTATTGTAAGTATACTCGAAAAGTTACGAAAGACGAGGACACGGCGCGTGGAAGTTATTCGATATCGTATATATAAATATATATATATATATACATATATATATAAATATACATATTATATATAATAATACAGAAACGAACTTGCGAGGGAGAGTACTTTATACATAGGTCGTCTCGTATATGGCCCGTCTCGAGGGACGCTCGAGGACGAATTCTGGGGGGCGACTCTCGAGTAAAAAGTGGAAATGGAAAATAGGAAGAGGGAGTGATTGCGAAGAAAAACGACACCCGCGTACAGGAGGAAGGAACCGAATTCGTCGTTCTGTTGGCGTTCAGATTTTCCATGTGTCTTATCTCATCTCGTTCGCGATCATCTTACCCTCGAGCGTGATTGCGATTAAACCTGAAACTGTCGGAATCCAGGAATGCACAATACAACACAAATAAACGCACATGTACACATACACTCGATCCCACGATCGTCGATCCGCTTCGGGTACTCGGATCGTTGGAACGTAAGATCGCGGATTATATTCGTACGCGTCTCAGGCAGAACAGAAAATGAGGATGACGTCAAAATGACGTTAAAATAACGTCAAAATGACGAGAAAATAATTATAAAAGCTCACTTCTCGATCATTTTTTTTCATCATTTTCATGTCTTTTTGACGTCGTCATCACTTCTTCTTCTACCTCTGGGGTCGATCTCGGATTTCTCCCCGTCGCGAACTTAAAATTCCGGATTCCGCGGAAGGTTCCTGGAGCTTTCTTCGATTTCAAGTTCCTCGGATCTCGCATTCCTCGGTATCTGTCGTTTCCGTTCGGCTCGCTCGAGCTCCGGCGGCATTCCCTCGGAGCCGTCACTTCTCGGGATCTAGGATTCTGAAATTCGCGTTCCCTAGGATCCCTCGGCTTCTTTCGGTTCCCGGGTCTTCCCCGGTTTCCTCGCGAACTTTTCCCGGGTATTTTCGCGGTTCTCGGATTCCACGAATGGTTGCTTCCTTGAATCATCGCATCGCATAAAACTCTCGGACCCTCGAATCCTGATACTTTGCTTTTCGAGAATCATACTAGAAGGAACTTAAGATAATCAGTATATGTGGAAAAAAAAGGGACAAGATTGCATGGGAGAAGGGGAGATAAAGATAGGAGAGTAAAATACAAATACAGGATATAGAGGAATTCTGATCTGTCGGGTCGATCGTACATTTTTTCGTTGCAAAAGAGTCGTACGCTTTTGCGATCGAAAAGATGAAAGAGTCTCTTCTACCGATAATTATTTCAAGAAAAGAAGGACCCTTTACAGGTTTCTGGTTTCGTAGCGCCATACTTTATATAATAATGAATAATAATAATAACGACAAACAAAAAATAATAATAATATTAATAATAACAATAAAATAATAATGATAAAAAAATAAAAGGATTGTTATAAGTTGTAACTGTTGTTTCTGGTACATGCAGATACTATACACACACACACACACACCCTAATCTAAGAACATGGCCTCCGCCGTTTTATTTTGTACGTGTACCTCCCTCCCATGATCCTATTTTGCAAAGAGCTCGATGTCCTGAAAAGAAATCATCCAAACTAAAGCTGAGTTGTATTTCATGTTTAATGATCGTGTGCGCGATAAATGCTAAAAGTGATTTTCTTTTACCGTTATCATGGATTTCTCGCATTACGTTGGACAAGAGGCGCAGGTTCGCGAATCCCTGAATCCTCTCCAAATTTCTTCGGTAACGATTTTTTTTCCGAATCCTCGGAACCTTTGTACAAACGCTCACTTCTGATAACATTTGTATCGTCTATGATTTGTATTGTCGAGAGATTTATATTGTCTATAACATTTGGATGTGCGTTTCTAATCATGTTAAATATTAGTATCGGGGAGAAGCTTCGTTTGATAAGGATACCTGTGCGATTCGTTGCCTGAGATTGATATAGTTGCGCTTCTTTCGTCATTTTATGCATGATAGCGCGACTTTTTCACGACCTATCGATCGATCGATCTGCGGTAAACAAGTGACGATCGACGTAAGGGAAAGATCTAGTGTAAGCAACCTCGCATTATGAGTACCTCTGTGTATCTGCATGACCGCATTACAATAATCATTAACTACTTTTAAAGGAAGAGAAAAAAAACGTAGTTACTACTCGATGTAGCAGGAGAAAATTCTATACAGGGCGTTCCAAAAGCATGTGCCAAAAGAGGACATCGAGATGCTCGGTGTCAGTGACTTACTTTCGCGACGGCAATCTTTTACAGCGAACGTTTGATCCTTATTAAGAATTATCGAGAATAAAGTTGATTTGAAATGCTCAGACGCGCTGATTTTACTTCTCGAGTTTTTCCATTTTAAGATTTTCCGAATTTACTCGGATTATTGAAGTATCCATTTAAATAGGGACTCTCATGGATTTTTAGATGCTATAAATCTTAAAGCAACTTCGATGCCAAACAAGATAAGTACCTTTTTCCAAGAAAGAGACAGAGAAAATGAAAGAGGAAGAGAGAGGGGGAGAGAGAGAGAGAGAGAGAGAGAGATACATATACTTGTTATAAGAAATTAATTTTTAACGTCGTACGAAACTTTCGGAGCACTCTGTATAAATACTCGATACTGGTCGCGAAGTACATTT